TAAATAGCTACATATTATATCACATATCTAGGATATAAAATTGATGTGGTTTACGATTGTATAGTGATATATCAATTAAATCATATAATTGTGATATATTCCTTACTATTAGAACGCCAAAAACATCAACATAACGAACCAAGAAATGCAATATAATAAATATTATATCAAGACTCAGGATTTGTCACACAGACAGGACAGGACACACCGCCGACTGATCCCAAACTAGACAGATCCTCTATACTACTGGAACACGACTGCTAATCAACCAAAATACTTACAGCCAGACACAGAACAAATTATTATGCTCAACACACCATGGGTATCGAACGTAATAATTCTATTTCAACTACAATTTCAATAATTTTAAAAAAGTTAAAAATGATGAATCCGAGATGGATGTAGCTAGATTTGCCTTGATGAAGACGTCTGCAATTCCTAAACTTTAGCGATTTTTCAGTCTACACACTAATTTTTACTCTATAATTTCTGATAATTAACTATATATTTACCTTATTTTTCTGATAAAGTATTGTAATTAACGTAAGAAGCCCTTTACGAGTTGGAAACGGGTAAACTTTAAGTACGCTATTTTCGTGCCAAAACATTGACACAATTTCAAGAGGTTAAGAAGTAATTTTGCGAGGATTATAATCTTCTATTTGCGATATACATATTGACTCATGAAAACTTGACAATATGGTGTACTTGTTAGTCTAGTAAATTAAATTAAGTTTATATCTAGATCATCGAGTACTACATTTTAATAACAATGCATTGGGCAAAATTAAGAGTCAGACTTGCAGTTTACTATCTTCACAGTTATTAACAAAAAGTTAAACTACAGGTATCATTTAGTTATTTCTAGCTTTTGTTAATTTACATGAAATTAAAAAAAATATGTGTATTTAAATATTCTAAAAAAGTACAAGAGTAATACTAGATGAAATAGATATCCGGTCCCAATCTAGTATCCGGTCTTAATTTTCTATCCAGCTGGATGATGAGCAAATTTCCGACCGGATATCGGATATCAATTTTACGTACGTTTAAGCCAAGTTACAAAATAAAAAGAAGTATTTTTATAGTTTCATTTACAAGAAAATTCAAAGCAATTTAGCAGGCAATATACATTTACCAAATTCTCTGCATTATTGGCGTGGGAGAGGTACATTAGGTTCCGGCTCAACCCGAGTGATAACACGGCCTCATAAAAAACCAGTGTTAAGCAGTTCTTTTATTGTTGTTCACCGAGTTAGTGAGGTAACCGGATCCCAAGCCCTTCCAGTCCCCCTTTTCTTTTTTTCTTTTGCGGGAATCCCCTCAAATAGCACCCACCGGTGTCGGACTCGAACTAAAAACCGTACGCCGTCTCGGGTCCCAGTAGCAGGGGAACCAGGTATACCCTAGAAAAGAAATCACTGGTACCGCGACGTACCTCGGGCCATTTAAGGTAGGTAGACGACCCCTTCCTGTGTGGGATGTTCCCTTTGTGCTCCGGAAAGGGCGCGCACGCTCCGCAACGCGCTACCCTGGCCTGCTTCTGCTAGGGTGACTGATGGCCTCACCTCGCGCTTATGGAAGACGGAGGTCGTTCTGCGACCTCCGGCGATTGAGTCGTCTGAGATACCTGGCCCTTCCCGAGTCTAGCGGCCCGGGAGAGTTCTAAACCTCTCCCGGTCCCGCTCCGCCATCTCCTTCTCAAGCATAACTTGCTCGCAGAAAGAGACGGCAGAGTTCCACGCACTCTCGCTCCGCACCATGGCCGCAATAAATGTTTACGAGCAACATAACTCCAACTCCGATAGCCGCCGACAAAGCTAATTTTCAGTTATTCCTGAAGCGCATTTATTATGTACCCGAATATCTGTCTTTTGATTACATTTATTCTAAGATCAAGTTATAAACTAAAATGTAGCTGTCCAATCAGATGACCAAACAGGCCAAGCATATCTGTGTATAACGTCCGTAGTAATATTTATTAGCTCATGGTTCACATCGATATTACGACTACTTGCGTTAAAGATCTCAATTACGAGACATTATTAGAATAGAATTTTCATAAGCTTGTGATTCTAACATTATATCCAAAAAGAGCTGATCTAATTCAGTTTTTTGTAAATCGTGAACATTTATAGATTAACCAAGAGTTAGTCTTGGTATTTGCAGTAACTACTGCACACACAAACACGTCTAAAGCAACTGCGTTAGACGTGTTTTTATGGACAAAATTGTAAAAGTATGACGATTATTTTATAATATAGATAAATATGATTGGAATTCGCATTTATTGGCTTTTTTACTTATAGTTCTAAGCCAGATTCTCTTTAAATAAGATCATAAGACGTGATCGAGTTTAGGATGCAGCAGTGCCATTATCAAATACTGACTTATGATTCTGCTTGTATAACTTTTTTGATGAGAATATGAATTAATCAAATTCACAAATCGAAAAATTGTTGACCTGAAAGTTTAGGCACTTAAGTATCAACATCTACTAAGATAGACCATCTTAGTAAAGCTACTATTAAAAGACCATTTGAATTTTTCTTGATGAGACCTTCTGGGAAATCCAAAATTTTCATTGCAATAAGTTCATCTTTCTTGGGTACTGTACTAGGAAGCCAAACAAGCATCAGAAATATTTTCTCAACACAAAATTTAACACGTGACAGGTTAATGGTTTAATGGTCATAGCTATAGTAAAAAAATGACATTAATAGATACAGGCCTTTTCAAAGCTTTTTTAATACTATTACTTTATTTTATTTTGAATTTGAAATGTTTAGGATTACCATCTAAAAATAAGAAAGAAACATAGAATTTCGGGCGGAATTAATCTTCGAAATGACTAAACGGATTTGATCGGTATTTTTACTGGCACATTCTAAGCATTTCAAAGCACATTATGTGCTACTTTTGAACTCAAAAATATTTGAGTTGCCACGTAAAAAGAACTGCAAAATCAATCTTACGTCAGTGCAGAAATCAGTCGTTAGATCGATTATGCATGATAAGAATAAATCAGCCAACCGTAATTCAATCTGGGACAGGGAGGGTTCCGTAGTAGTAAGTAATATATGTCTTGACTTAGGTTTTCGGGTGCACTTCGTATATTCAGTATATATAAAGAAAATGTTTGCGCGTTATGATCAAAATATAAGAAATGTAATTTTGAAATCTAAAAAGCCAGACTAAAAATAAAAATAATAGTTAAATTATTGCTTTCATTGTGCTTCTTGCGTGAATTATAGTTAGGTTAGAAATAATTCCTATTGTGTAAAATGAAACAAATTATTCTGAATTTCCTCAAAACCATTGAAACATAATCGAATCATTTTATTAAAAATATTAATCGTTTGTTTCTTAAATACACTTAAGAAACAAACGATTAATATTTTTGAAATACTTACTGCACAAATATTGCACATTCCTAAAGATCCTACACAATTTAAGTTAAAACGCTGTAACGCTACATTGAAGTGACTAAAAAAAATAAACTAAATTTACATAATATTTTACACAGTAGACAAAAAATGCGTTCCCCAAAGTATCATTTACCTAGATATTGACACCTTTTTTTTTTTTCCGTGCGGAAATCCCCTCGGATACCACCTGTCATGTGGCATGTCGGACTCGAACCGACTAAAACCGCACGCCTTCGCCGGGTACTAATAGCCGGGGAACCAGGTATACCCTAGAAAGGAAGGCCCTGGTGCCCCGACATACCTCGGGTCATCTACAGACGAGTAGACGACCCCCGCCCCGTGTGAGATATTGACACCTGCGTCAAACTATTCCAATGTCTTGACTAAATATCAAGATTCTATTCGCTAATTTGCAACTGCATTTCAAACGCCATTTTAATATTGTTATAAAATAAATATTATTCATGATCATTAGCCTGCTTTCGCTGTTGCCAAAACAATTAGTACCGATGTTGCTACACGTTTAGGCTATTACGCAGCCGAAAATGAGGACTCCAACTAAAATGCAATAAATGTGCACGCTAAACTCTTTATTTCTGGGCATTTTTTTCTTACTTGATTGATACGTAACTGTGACCAGACACCGAAAGAATAATGGGATTGCTAGGCTTTTACTAAAACTCTTCAGCGCAAGGAATTTATGCCAGATTATTTTAACTATAATTTGGTATAACTAACATAATATAGGGAGGCCTAATGCTATCAATCAATTGAGCTGTTTTTAACCTATCGATATCGATTTTTCTTTGATATATTACAACGAAGTGAGGTAAAAAGGAAAAGGATATCGCTTGTATATCGAATGAATTGGTGGGCGCATACCTTAACTTGAACTCGTTAGAAATGACACGTAGGTGCGCGTAAGCGTGGATGTTGGTAGGTACGAATTGACGGCAGGAACGATGCCGAATATAAGAGATTCGGGAAATAAGAGATACATTTATGTATTTAAGTGTTTTCATTGACATCAGCGGCAAACTCAAAAATGTAGCAAACATATTGGGGCCAATCGCAACGTCACCAGTTGTCGAACGGCCGGTGACCGATAAATCTAAGAATAAGTATATCTGGTATAAAGAGAGTCGGTCGACGTCTTAGATATATTTTAATGATGTTCTAGATAATCTAAACACAACGGTCGTTTCCGATATTTTAAAACAGCTCACTAGATACTGGGACAATAAAAATAGCCAAACTGTTACAAAACGTCGGATTGACGAGAAGTCCCAGACTGAATGATTTCGCTATAAATATTTCTATTCCTCCGACACATGATAAAATGATACACAATTTTAAATCACTTCAATTTTAAGGAATCAGTGTACCGCGATACCTAATGGTGCCAAAAGTTTCATACGTCTGTAGGTAAATCAGGGTTCGGGATACAGGAAGGGTCTTTCCATCGTCGCGTTTATTTACAAACAGACCGTTATAGCTGGAGTAGCGGGTATGTTTACATACATCGTTGACAGCTTTGGATTAAAGCGACGAATAGAAGCAATCAATAGGTACCCTGGTAACGATGAGCGGGGTTGCGAGATCAGCACCACCAACGAGACGCAGACCCCAGTTGACTTCACGACTCTCGCGACGGAGAGTCACCACGAACGTGTGGAGCCGGCCCATGACGCGTGAGGAGAAGCGCGCGGTGCGCGTGACTTAGGCGCGGAGTGCGAACGCGCCGGCTACACGCGACGTTGTGTGCGCTAAATTAGTTTCACCGCAAATCCGCCACGCCCCCTGCCCCTCTAGACCACTGCATAACCCTGCCTTCGCAACCGACCTATATCCATTAACAGAAACTCTGGAATATGTCGATATTTGATTTTCCAGCTGTTCCGGCGGCATTGCTACACCGCATTTATCTACTCTTTTACCTTTACCCACTAACCTACTACCAGTTGCCCACTTAACTTACAAATGCGTTTAACATACACATGTATAATCTATATATGCGTACATCTTCCATGTACATGACAAACAGGTCAGGACATGTAAAGATATTGTATTTAGTAAAACTAACCGGCTGTTCTGTTTATTTTTGCTCGATTCATTTCATGTTCGATACAACCAGATTTTACGTACATTTTTCTGTATTAAAAGTTCCTTTTGCTGCAATAATAGCATTTGATCGCTACTTAAGTTATCTTATACAACTCTTCATTATAATAAAAATTGTATAATTTTTGGCGACGAGAATAAAAAAAGGCACTGAAAACTAAAGCGATATACGCTTTAGTTTGATTAGACAATAACTTTTGAAATCTTATGAGTTTAAAATAATTAATTATCTCTGTGTTACAGTTTATGAGAACTCATTGCCGATTTATTTATTTGTAGTCAGTTTTGAAGATCAATATTTATTTGGCATGATAATAAAGTTATTAATGTATTTTTGGTTCTTTGATCATGAATTAGTTATAATTATAACAGTTAAGGTATTTTGCGAGACATGTCGACATTGGCATGATATAGATACGGATATCATTTTAGAAGCCATCATTGTAAGTATTACACTCATATTCAGCAGTAGAAATCTGTGTTACTAAGAAAATAATTCGTCTAGTACTTTTATTTTAAACCAATTTCATTAGAATCACTCGTTTGGGCCGAATCTCTCCACTTTTTAGGAGAAAATTTACTCGGACTATTAGTAGAATATGGGTTGGTAACTTTAATTAGTACCCAGAGTATATTAGAATACTAAACTACACCTATATTATGAAAGAGATAGAAGCATCACCAGCATTAATCAAAGAAAATACGCTAACAAGATGATGTACATTTAAATAATACCTGGTACCTAGTAGAAAACACCATAGTGCTAACAAACTAACAATCTTGAATGAGGTCGTACCTTTCTTCTCTGGCCGAAATCCCTGGGCTCGCTTCCAGGATCAACTATTCGCTGGTGTGGTACTCGCCAAAACGGTGGTCTCTCGTACATCGGCATTGTCTATGCTTCTTACTTCCTTTTACAGCCAAAACTAACACAAATAATAACAAATTATAATGTAACAATTCTAACTGAGTGAATGTAGCTGGAATAATGCATATTATCACTATTCCTTTATAATAATAAGACATCAATTTAATATCATAATGCATCCGTAACGTAGGCGTTTTGGCAACATTTTCATACAATAAATCACTTGTTCCATGGACAAGGACAGCTGAGCAACGGTAAAAATTACACGTTAGACACCACGTGGAAATCGTAGTGGGGGGCCGTATGGTGTGGAGCATTAGGGTTAACTCACCGGGGGGCGCGCCGCGTCGTTACTTGCTCGACGTCGCTATAATAGTGGCGATTTCAATTATCTCGAATTATTCTCCCGCATTTACGTTTATTCTATTTTTCGCGTCGCGTCGGCGATAGCGGGCGTCAGTACCACGGATCGTGGTTCGAATGATTTACAAGGGGAGCCGGGCTACACGAGCTGTTTCTGGGCCAATAAGATTCAAACTCGATCCACCGTAACTCGTGAATACTCGATTACGTACATTGCCCCCGAATTTTTGGTACATGTCGGTCAAAACTTGCAACCAGACTCACTAATGTGTTTACGAACGTTGAACTCGACATTATTAATATTGACCGAAATGTATTAAATTGGTATCCTAAACTGTTTACCAAATAATGTAACAGTAGCCTGAGACAGAACAAATATTTTAAATCAATACTGTAAAGGGACTTATTGCTGCTATATATCTAATTCACAATCTATTTTGTAACAAGTAAAATGATTGTAACTCATTCTAAGATACATCATCACACAGCTGTCTAATCCCAAACTAAGCAATTAGTAGGTAGTCTGATCGTAGGACTTAAGTAAGATTTCTTAAATACGGATCATTATCAAGATTTTTATTCTGTAAATGTGGGCACGTCCAGGGTTGTTTGATGTATGTTCATATATATAGTATTCTGCTCGCCCCCATTTCGCATTTCAAAACATGGGGCTGACTGGAAGAAATATCTTAACATAATGGAGTTCGCAACTAAAAAGTACAGCAAGTACAATTACAGTATACACACACGGGTATAGTAGTATAACATACCCAGATATAGCAGTATAAACTCGGAATTTGTTTTTTTTTCGATCGAACTGAGAATTGGAGCTGAAAAGCACCTGATACCACTTTACACGAAGAGGCCTTGTTTACCTCACTAGTAAACTAAAACACACAGCACGGATGGATGTATTATTAGAGAAATGGAAACAGGAAGGAAGAGGTTACTGTTCTGTAGCCGTACTCTCAGACTCAAACATAATAAAAAAATTTAACTTAAAAATTAATATATTCAAAAATGTTGAAGAGTTAGATTTATATTAAAATTATAAAATGTTCATACTTAAATAATATGAAAGCAAACCGATTCTTATTAATTAGTAATTACTTAACCGCTAGTTATGCCTTGCACTTAGTCCGCATTAAGTTCGGATATTTACTTCCTTAATAAACGGATAAGTAATAGAATACAATAGGAAAACTCTTATAATCTGAGATTAGAGCGTTAAAACAAATAAAAACTCTCCAGATATGTATTAATAACATAGTTTTGTAACGTAAAATGGATTTGTAATAATTATTGTAAATATTTCTTAATTTAACATTCCGAAATGGTTGCTATCACAAACAGTTTTTTCATTTGCGCTAATTTTGTTAATACGAAGTAACAACAAATATGAACATAGAAAGGGAAAATACTATCTACTATACATAAGAAAGATTATAATACAAACTTTGTATACTTACAGCACTAATAATTAATGAAAAGCGTCAACGTAAAATCAGATTATAATAACACTTACAAAAAGTCTTAAAAATGAAAGGTGTACACAATTTTTTTACATTGCATTGAAAAAAATGTTGCAGTGTGTTGACGATATTATAAATCTTGAGATATTATAATAGAGATTATAAGGAGATCACATGCCTTAAATGTTCAAATTTAAGTATTCTATATTGATAAATTGCATGTCATTCAAATCAACTTTTAACGAAGTATCAGCGACTTTAATGTGCCTAAACTGTAACTGTATTTATTCTTAATCTTTTAATTTTTCTTCTTTGAGGCAGAAAATTACTTCAGTGTGTGGTATTGAAGGAATTTTTCAACATTTTTCAAACAGTTCAAATAAAATAAATATTGAAATGACGATGAATGAAAGAGCGAACTGAAACTGAAATGTGGATGTCGGTTTGAAATTTTTATTACTTGACTGGAGTTTATCATCCAGTTTGATACAGAAAATGGTTAAGTTGTTTCTAAGGGGTCGTCTAAACTAGCGAGAGAATCGTGGCAATATTATCTTCGTGCTACGTATTTCTATACACTCTCGTAGAACGTGTCTACACAGTGCGATTTTATCCCCGTCTCTACAGTGGGGCGCCCGCCGCGCGCTCGCCGCTGCACGTGGCGCTCCCACAGCGAGAGCGCGCTCAAACGCAGGCCCGCCCGCCTCATTTCTGTGTTTACTGTTTGCCAAGCATGGGGGTTACGTATTGCCGAGTTTTTTAAAACAATAAACAATATTTGACATTTGTCAGAGTACTTGTAGTTTACTATTTGTTCTGTGAGTCTGGGTGTACTTTATCTATACAAATAAATAAAATTGGAGTGTCTGTTTGTAATATTAAAATAACCGCTTTTTACTAAATGCATATGTATGTTTACACGGTACATATGCCAAAATAACATTTTTTACAATTTTTGTCTGTCTGTCTGTTTGTTCCGGGTAATCTCTGGAACGGCTGGACCGATTTCAACGGGATTTCACTGGCAGATAGCTGATGACATAAGGTACTCCTTATGTCATCAGCTATCTGCCAGTGAAAGTCCCGTCTTACTTACTTAGGCTACTTTTTTTAGACTAGCTTCGCCCCGCGGCGTTGCCTGCGGTTATAACAACAAACGCGGGTAACACCGCGGGTCTCAGCTAGTCTATAATAATTATGTATGTATTTAGAAATATATAGATACGTTTATCAGCAGTCTGGTTACCATAGCACAGGCTCTGTCTAGGGTGGGACCAGACGGCCGTGTGTGAAATGGGTAAAAATATTATATTATTATGTTATATTATTATTATTACTTATTATGCAGACATGTATACATATGATGACACTACTTTATCTTGTCTGGCATCTACGGCGGACACGCGGCGTTTGTATGTCGCGATGATACGCCAGCGAAATAATATTTGTTTACTTAGATAATAAGTACAATAATTATTGTACTCATTATCTAATTAAACAAATATTATTTTTTCTTAAATTAGTGAAAAATAATGAACCATTTATTTATTATAAATTAAATATAAATATATAAATACTTGTTCGTGGACCCGACGATAAAAGCGCGGATCCGTCGCGGTTCTCTCGCTCGCGAAGACGTCCTAAAGCATCTTTATTGGCTATTTTCTATGTCATTATGGATGCTACTGTTATATGTATAATATGGCTGTTTTAACAAAAAATGTGAATTCGTAAGACATAAGTTTACTTCTTCCTTTAGGAGCAGATAGAGATCACAGAGTTTTAACAAACAGGTTTTTAACAATAAAACTTTAAATGTTAAACATAACAAACTTCTTTTTGGATTTCCTTTACGACTAACCATTTAACAGAGACATTAAATTCTTAACTTCAGTCAATTACTTATAAACAACTAAATATGACCAGAATAGTAAGTCTAAAAAACTAATAAAATACTACTCTATACAACTGTTCTATAAAAAAACACTGCTATTTTAATTAACCTAACACAATAGTACAAAATAAGCAAGTAAAAAAACCTTTGTCTACTTCAACAATTACACTGTGTTATCTTACAAGTTTACATTATACATATGTTCATATGTATTTGAGAAAAAACATGATTCTGTGTACATAGGCATCTTGTTTACTTGGCAATGCTAAAATAAAGTCCGTCCCTTAATTTGTTTTACAAATTGTCGAGCTCATAAATAACGTATCAAAGTGTTGTGTTGTTACAGTGTGGCAAGATTTTATAGACGTCTGATCAAAGGAACGTTTTACCGAAAGTAAACATTAGTTGAATTTGACTTTGGAAATGCCATATACACATGTTTTTGTTTTTAACATGTATACGTAAATTATTTTGTCTATAATAATTGCATCGAACCTTTACAAAGCAAAAATGACAAACCTTTCATAATAAAAAAAATACCTGCCATATGTATACATACAAGAACCAAAGGCATGCTTTAGTACTTGTATGTATACAGTGAATTAACTTACAAATGGTATTTCTTCTTTCTAGCCTCTTTTTGCAAGTTAACCCGCCGCTTGGTACGTAGGGTCTCATAGACTCGCCGATAATTATATTTCTTTCTAATATTAATAACCATAACCCCGTTTTGCTAGTATAATATGTTAATCGAAGAATACTATACCATTACAACAGAGAAAACATAAACATCTATGAAAAAGTCAAGCTTTTTTATAATGATATATCATTTGCTCGATTGGCTAATAAGAAAATACTGTAATCTATTAATAAGCAATCCAGTATGATTTAACTCTATTTTACGATTTTTTAAAAGTAATGAGGTTATATTTTTCTAAAGTTAGCAGATAATTAATTGGAGGTATAGGAAGTATAACGTGGTTGATTTTGATTTGATATTGTTTTATTCTTCTAACATATTCGCGTCTTTCAAATTTTACCAAGCGCACAAGGTAAGTTTTTAGCTTATATTTTTTACCCTTTGTAAGTTTTGTATATTTGAATATATAATATAAATACATGTATAATATAAATACTGTGTGTAACTTAATCATTAAAACTTGTGCTTTATTAAATACATTAAAAAATTGTGAAATATTATAATAATGAGGCAGCTAAGTTATCGAAATAATGAAGTCAATATACAATTGAAGCAATCAATTTTTCTATATCGTCTACATTTATGATGTAAGTCGGTAGCTCATTGATTTGGACTCGAACTTGAAGGCTGTTGTTATCTCCACAAAAGTGAACAATAAAAACACTAGAGAGAAGTGCACATTACCATACATGAAAACCGAAGTCTCAGGTTGTAACAGTTGGAGTTTGACAACTCGAGAAAAATCACAGTTTTACATTTGTTCTTACTTTAACTTAATTATCAAAAATTTCAAAAATCTAATATGGCTGGTTTGGTGTCCCTCGCGCATTTGATGAGAGAATACATAAGTTTAACAAATCCTGTGTCCTTCGGTTTCTCGAGGCCTCGAAGTAATCTATTCTTCATGACTGCCACAAATTCACGGTTGCTAAGTTGGCCGTCCACTGTAAAAGAATTTTGATTTAGTGCGCGACCTATTGTGATTACCGGAGTCTCACTCCGGTAATCAACATACCAGACAAAAGCTCCAAAAATCACCATAAGCCGGACTTGGTAAAATGATTTAGAGATAATATGGACAAGTCTTCGTAATTTCAGAGTTTTAAATATTGTAGAACTTTTTCAGTTTTAAAAATAATCTGGAGTACAAGCAATGCTATAAATAACCGGGATTTTATTCTCAAAAATCATCTGTGCCGCACAAAGAGGCATAGTTTAATAATACTCTGTAACGTTGAGTTATTAGAATTTTTTCTTACTCTTAACAGTCCGTAAGGAAATTGCAGGTTATTTACCTCAGTTAGCGAACTTATTTACCTAGGAGCATGACAACATCATCTCATAAAGCTCGTTCTTTAACGACTAATGAAAAACTTTTCTTGTTTGTGTACTATTGCAATTTGTAGTTAATACATTTTATTAATATGTTTATTTTAATATTAACATATAAATATAATGAATCTTACATATTTATTTTTAGTTATTTATCGAGAAGCACACGTTCACGTTCAGACACTATGAGTCGAGAGCAACGCATTTACATACAATAATTCTACCTAATCAGACTACACTCTGTCAGCAATATTTTTTTTGAACATTAGTAAAGCGAAGTAAAATTATATAATATACGTACTATTCTCATCGAAGATGGTGAAGACGACATTTATGACGTGCGGGTCTAAGTCGACATGCGCCACAGTCCTTGCCACGTGACGTAACGTCGGTTGGTCGATCGACGCGCCCGCGATGTGATAGAATGTTAGTGCAGTGTCCACGTCGTTTATGTTATTTAAGAAATGGAAGAACTTCAAATAATCGTCTTTGGTAATGCCCACGCCGTGGTCGCGGAAACTGCAGATTTTTAGACAAGGGACAATTTAATTTTTTATTCTTCAGTAGTGGTTTTCAATTTTGAATAATCTACATCCTGTTGCGAATATATCATAAATATATGTACCAACAGGTCAAAGAAACAAATAGTAGTGTCAATACTGAAAGGCATTTATCAGCGAACTGTCAAGCAGCAGAAGTATGATTTTAATGTCATTTTCATTTCTTCAATCTACAAATTAACAAAGATCTCTCAAAATGGGCACTCACGTTTTTTTTACTCGTTTGAGCATTCTTGCCTTTTTCTTGGCTGGGTAACCAGCGTAAGCTAACAAGAGCTCTGCAAAATCAGCTTCGGTAATGCGACCATTTTCATCTGAAATAACATTGATTTTATTGTTTTAGTTTAAATTTCGGTGTTTTTAAAACCGTTCAAATTCAATTTTAAAGAGCAAAGACAGCCGATGGCAACTCACCACTTGTGAGTTGCCATCCCTGTTCTACAATGTAACCTATAAACTTACAACATTGTATTGTTTTTTTTTTTGTATCACTATGTTTGCTTCATATTCTGCATTGCTACAATGCGTTGTGGTTGTATAACTTGATAGCCACGATATGAATTTCCCTAAGTAGTCTTTCTTTAAGTGGTACATCACGACGTGAGCGACTTGGATATTTTACCACTGTAAAATATCCAAGTCGCTTACGTCGCGTTGTGGTCAATACCACAACGCGTTTTGAGTTGTTTTTAAGCTCAATGAGCGTTTTCGTTTTTTATGCGTAACATTTACATAAATAAACATTAAAGAATATGGGCGAATTGTATACCATAGATGTGCTTGAACACATTCAAACATTTCCTTACCTGGTTGTTTTCTCATGAACTCAAGGGATAATATTTCTCTCTGAAGTTGTTGCTGAAAGTCTAAGAACTTTTCGATTGTCAGTTTCTCACAAAGTTTGTGACCGAAGAAATAAGTTGTTAGCGCAGAATTGATCCCCTGAAAAATAAAAAGACAGCAAATGAATTTACGTGCTTTGTTTTCGTTGCGTTACGTGAATTAATTATCTGGGAAAAATGAGAAATTGGTCAGCGCTTTACACTAAAAATACGTTTTTTTTTTAAATATTAAATTAGGTACGTTTTACATTTAGGACCTAAAAATAATATTTTTTCGTACAAGGGTTATGCATAACTCAAAGTACACACACCTTGAACGTGTTACCGGTATTAGCGTGATCTCTGTGCCTGGAGCCAATGCTGCTCTGCTGTCGGATAAGAGCGGCAACTTTCTCAAACTCCTCGCAATCCACATCACCATCACCGTTTAAATCAAACATACGGAACGCAATCTCGAAGTGGCGACGAGACGCTAAAACGGTTTGGAGTAATAAGTCACAATGTATTTTCTAGCAGACAGCAGTAGAGGAGCCCTAGAAGAAATTTTGGGATTTACTCGAGTGCGGTAGACTAACATAAGTAGGAATATCTTACACACTGTTGAGTAATTAAACCGTGTATAAGCCCTATTGGGCCCAGTTTAGCCAGCCGAGCAGATTAGTAAAAAAACGATCTTCAAATAAAACAAAACGATCTTAACGCTCGAGTGAGCGTGTAAGATGGTACGTATGGATATGGTAAGGTTTGATTTGTTTATTTTTTAAAAACATGCTGAAAAGTGTGTATTTCAATAATCTGATGATTTGAGCATGACATAAGAGGAGTGGGAGGGTCACAAAATTGTAAAAAAAATACGTGACATTATTCAGCGCGGACGATTTATTTTTATTTTGAAGTATAATGCGAGAAAGACACAAAATATAAATTGCCGATTTTCATAAGCCGGTACCTAGCAAAAATCGTCAATATGGTATACCGCGTGCGGCTGGAGTAAAGCATGTATTCCAATCTTTTACCTATTTTTAACTTATTTCTGATTAACAAAACAATCAAATTAAAATACTCTACACTAGATTGATAGCCAACATTAAAGTAGTAGTAGTACCTATTAAAATTTTATTTTTTTCCAAATTTCTTATAAAACATTTTAAAATGCAAGGTCTTAGTTAATAAGTACGTTAAGCAACATTAAGTCTCGGCTACTAACAGCTAATGTTAGCTAAAAATAAATTACAAATACGACTGTACTTTTTAATACCCTGATTTACTTACCGCAGGCAACTGCTTTGCATTTTATTCTACGTATTCATACTCTTAGTTATTCCAAAAACTCCACACATTAATCAAATTACACAGTAGTGTTGGGATTATTTTACAGCAATAATTAATAACATTTGTATAAGAAAATTTTGCTTAATGTGAAATAAAAAGAAAACTAGCTTTAAGTTTTTTTTCTGACAAATGTGTGACTTACATAGTCAATGTGTGACAAATGTGTGACACACATTCGTCAATGTGTGACAAATGTGTGACTATGTATTTAAGCACAGACTAGACTTTTTACATTTAATGAATAGAAGACAGTGCACGAGACTCGCCAATTATTGCTAATTGACAAAAAGAACGCTATTAAAAGCAAAAATAGTTCGAAACACCTCGTAATATAAATCACTCACTTTCAGTGTTTCCTAATCGCGTACTTGTATATAGGTTTACTTTTATGTTTTATTTTGTACTGAACGTGCACTAAACTACCCAAATCTTGTTTGCCTGTAAAATATGGCCACAGTGCGATAAAGCCACCAATTATTAAGATCCACTCGTCCACTTTAATGTAGAAACAGAGTAGCGTTTCTTGTAGTCAATTAATAAAATACAAACATGTAATATTTGTAATAACCGAAGGACTATCCCGGTTACTTCTTTGGCTAATTTTATCTATATTTAAATCTTCTAAAACCCAACGGCGTATTTTTTTTAGGTCCAGTACAAATAGAGATGTATGTATGTTATTCTATAAATCATTTGAAACTTATAATATAATTAGAAAGTGTTACAATAAGTTTCTTGATATACTACTAATCATTTCTAATTGAAAAAAGTATTTTACTAGCTAGTTTACGTTAACATGCCAACACGCTAACACATCATAGCAAACTATTTTCATCGTAATCGAACGACTACTGCCGAGATAAATCTCGCGCCAGTGGGTAGCGAAAATCATTAGATTCGCTCATGCCCTGTGCGCTGCCCCACCCTCCCGGATGCTGTGTGAATATACAGTAGCAACGCCGGAATTTTTACCTACACATGAACTAACAGAGTTATTTGAACCATGTTCAAGTGATCATATTACTGATTTAAAATAATCTATTCTCATAACTATTTATCTTAAAATTTTTACCTCACCTCATACCACATGACGCGGCACTATGTTATTCTCAGTGAAACGATTTCGGTCGAGAATAAAAACAAAAGCATTCCAATATCTACGATGTGGTGCAAAGACCATGACTTTTCTGTTTTGGGCGACTCTTTATATGATTGTTATGAAAATGACAATATTCAAAAGCAATGTGAGGACCCCGGTGAAAGACTGGTCGATGGTACCTGATAATTATACAAAGTGGCTGGTAATAATTCGCGTTGATGTTAAGTTTTGATCAATTTGGTGTTTGTCAGTGGCTGAATGTAAAAGTGAATGTAAACAGTTGCAGGGGCCTGTTATAGGCGAGGATGAGCCAGAAACGAACAATAACATTGTGGACTGGATGGAGCCGGATAATGTAACAATATTTGAGCTGGAGAAGCGCGCCATTGAAGTACTAGACGTATGTCGCAAACGAACTCTTTCATCTCGTCTGATTAACAATAAAGAGTTCTTTGTGGATCATGCTCATAATCTTGTGTGGTGCAACATATTTAAAGCTGCTAGTTCTTCCTGGTTATATAACTTTAACATACTAGGTAAGCAGTAGTTTTAGGTGTTTACTTTAGAACTATACATTCACTTATCGAAAATAAAACACAATAAAAGTTTATTAGTATGTAAGTAGACTAACAGCCCAACTGAGAGAATACATACACAATCCTGTCTACAAACACTCAAGTGTGACGATGGTGTAACGAGTGTTTTAAGGCACCTCTAACTGTTCTCCCTTAGACAAGCAGATGTGCTTATCATTTTCACAAAGATAAAACATTACACTTTAGAGAACTTAAGCTTTTCACGGGTTATGTGGGATTGACAATATTTTAATTTCATTTCAGGTGGCTACGACAAACATTTCTTGGCGCGAACCAGGCAGACGCCATTAATGTTAGCAAGAAAGAAGTTCCCTCGCCCTAGTGAAGAAGAACTAAAGGATGCTGTTAATACACCAGGGGTTATATCACTCTTGGTTGTACGAGAACCCTTTGTCCGTTTGCTCTCAGCATATCGTGATAAGCTTGAAAACATTACCCCACCGTATTATAGGAAGTTAGCAAGAGCTATAGTTGCAGAACACCGAGCAAAAGCTATAAAAATTTTAGGGCCTATCAAAAGCTTTGGGCCTACGTTTTACGAGTTTGTGGCTTACTTAATACAAAAGTACAATGCACAAGCCAATGATTTCACTTTTGATGAGCATTGGGCACCGTATTACCGGTTTTGTTCACCTTGTGCCGTCAACTTCACCGTCATAGCAAAGGTGGAAACATTGGCGAGAGATTCAGCGTATGTAATACAACAACTTGGTCTAGGTCATGTATTGGATAGAAAACTCAGCAACCGGAGGATGCGACTGCGTACTGTAATGAATAAGTCTCGAGATGGGAAGAACACTACAGCTTTACTGCGATATTACTTTAGTCAAATTGACGAAGATATGCTTAATGGATTGTTACAAATTTATGGTATAGATTTTGAAATGTTTGGGTACGATGCAAAGATTTATAAACGTTATGTTAGGAAATAAAGAGTTTATGGAATATATTGCGAGTTTATGTAATCATTATAGTATAGACCAATCACTTACTTGATAATACGGTAAGGAGGAAGATGTAGTCGCTGAACGTGATGAGTCCTGATGAGCCGAGTTTATAGAAAATGGAGTCTTCATCAAGATCGAGATTGAGACGTTGACTGATACTCTGTGTGAAAAACGGTAGATAAAATGCATAATTTATGTCCTCGTAATAAGCTTATTCTAGGCACTCCAATATAAAACTAATTATTTAAACGTGTAACTATGTAATAGCGAAGTGATTAGTACCAAATTTTATAACCAACCCATAAATTACTATTAGGGTAATATATTTCTTTTTCCGAAATAGGTCATAATAAAAAAAAGTGTGTATTAAACTATGTAAAACTATAAAATATGTTAATAATTTAAACAACTAAGTGCCACCACTAAAAATCTATGATGCGGTAAAGGAAAGAAGATAAAAACGGCATGCTTAGAGCTATAGATAAAAACTAAAACGCTTGGAGACGCATTATTTCTGGCAGATCTAAGCCCCATTGTGCTTGAAGTAATTAGTTTAAAATAGCGAGCTCATGTCTGTAGCAATACTACTAATTTGTAGAAAAATGATTGACCAAAAATCTATACATGTGATCTAATCTAAAGGCTTGACGCCGCCAATAGCGATGTTATGAAAATAGACAGGGAACCAAGTCAATAATGTGCACATCAAATTAAATTTTTAACAAAGTCGAGAGCAGAAGATATAAGAAGAGGAGAAAGACAGTACCTCATCGATGTTCTGAAAAGATAAGAAAGTGATGTGAGTGGCCGAGAAGATGGTGCTGACTGTGCAAGTATCCAATGACAATTTAGTTTTTTTTTTACAAAGCAAGAGATATACATCTAAATATTTGTGATTGGGTAGTGTTTCTATAGGTTGGATGTGTAAATTTCTGTCAGAAATAATAAGGGAATACTTTTTGTAAGCTTTCTTTATTCTTCTTGAAGATAATCTCCTCCCTCTATAATTTAAATAAATACACATTGCATTAACATGCACGCCATTTATTCGTGTTTAGTCTCTCTTTATAATTCTACTCGCATATAGGTATAGAAAAATTAAATATGTTATTTGTACTGTAACCGAGGTGGGTTAGCTAACTTAAATCAATTTGATGTTTTTACATATTTAAAAGTTTTATCAATTTAGTGGAAACATAAAAAAAAAACTTATTTCATTTATATTTTAATTTATGTTCAAATAATTGAATCTAATTTTATTTATCTGTTTTAGGATCCTGTATAAATGAATGGTTAAAGTTCATAATAAACTAAAGAGAAACATTGTAATAATACGAAAATAATAAATATTGTAGTTACGGACTTACAAGATCAATCTTACCTTTGGGTCATATCTTCTATACTGGTCTAAGCCCAAACCTGTTAAAACAAGATTGTTACAAAAATCAAACCTTTAACAATTTTAATAACATTTTGATGTTTTTTGCAAATTTATCTGTAGAATATCATGAAATAACCATTGATTTCAATTAAAGTGTCCTCTTTAATAGATCATTTGACAATTCATCAAAGAATTAATTAGGTAATTTATAAATTACCTGTCAAAGATTGATTTGTTCATTGCAAAGTTGTTGGTCCTACAAAATTTTAGGATTTACAAGTTTAGCATATTGGAACAGGTGTGCTACTGGTATTGGCAGTAGGTTTGTAATGTCTATTTGCCACTTTGTTACAACTGCATATCAGATTAGCACACATGAAAAATTGATGAACTATTTCAAAATACAAATTAACAAATTTACCATCAGGTTGCTTAACTCCTGGAGTCATGGAACGCAAAAAGTCATCAGGAGTCATAAATATCTCATGTTGGTCATGATGTTGAGCCTGAAGAGTGGCAAAGTAGCGAAATACCTTATCTGGTGTAGAATACTGTCGCATGCGGTTCTCATATTCGATAATCTGTCCAGCAGCATTCCAGGTACAAAGATTTTGCTTAGTCATCATTATTTATGAGATGTAGTTAAAAATATATATTTAAATCCATATTACTGGTTGTTATCGTAAATTGTAAGAGGAACATTGTAAAAACCAAAAACATTATGAGCAATAAAATGAAATAAATAGTAACTTAAATAAAAAATATACCATCAGGCTGCTTCATGCCAGGAGTGATAGCTCTCAAAAAGTCATCAGGGGTCATGTAAATTTCTGTGTGTTCACCCAAACTCAATTTGACTGTAGCAAAGTATCGAAATATTTTATCTGGAGTTGAATAGGACCTCATACGGTTTTCATATTCAATAATCTGTAGTAAATGAAAATAACAACAATAATAAAAAAGGACAAAAATAAATCATAAAAGGAATTGGTTTACTGTCAGATTATGGATGTGTTAACCTTTTGGGAAAAGTTTGTTTTTGTATTATTAAAAATGCGAGTACCTTCCGATCCCGAAATCCGATCTTCTCCTTTCGATATCTTTTCTTTTTATTGTCAACTTCATTGTCGGATTCTGAATCAGATATTTCTTCAGCAGCGATTATAGAAGGCAGCAGTTGGTGTTGAGCCCTTTAAAAACAAACATTATGCTAGTCTTTAAACATGCACATGCATTGGTAAAAAATTCAAGTAATGTTAAATGTCACTTGCCAGAATTTATAGGAAGTATAGGCTGCAGCACTGAATAAAAGTGAACAGCACAGATATTTGTAAGCTGGGTGTTTTCGATCTTTAAAGTCATAGTTATCGTTGGTGTTATAATATTGCTGCAAATCTAAATGTTTACTTCTTACTGCAAGTAGACTACATGTCGTATTAATAGATGTAACTTTCCGTAATACAGCAACATCAGTAAGTATTTTTAACATTCGAGTAGATACCCGATACATTTTATTTCTAATGATTATTAATTTGTAACAGGAAAAATTTCAAAATAGAATACGTAAAAGTCGTAACATTTTTGACATTGACAGTACTTAATTGACAGAAAACACAGGGTTGTCACCTTGCTACTTGAAAAGTAACTAAAAATCTACCAGAATCTCTTTTTACAAAATTTCATTGTTTATGTCATTTTAAGAAATAAGAATTACTATATATCCTAACGTACTGTGTTATATTGGATAATTTGTCAACGCCTATTGAGGTTTTGTGGGTTCTTCTTAAACATGTTATTGGAACGAAGTTCATTATCGCGCGTTGTGAAGACACTTTTAATATAAATTGACGTCTAACTGTGGATACCATACATTAAATTTGCTTTAACGTTCGCCAACGTCCACACCATGTTGAATACACCGGTTCTCGTCCGATCACCGAAGTTAAGCAACATCGGGCGTGGTTAGTACTTGGATGGGTGACCGCCTGGGAATACCACGTGATGTTGGCTTTTTGCTCTTTATTTTCGTGTCATTAAATAGAGATACCGGTCTTAGTTGTCTACTTTTGTTAGTTGGCAAATAACGCTTAACAACTGTGAAAATATATAATCACATTTTAGTCCGGTCATTTTAGACAATTGAAATAAAGAAAATTCCGACAGATCCAAATCTTCGTAGAGACCTTAGGTTTACCACAAGGAATAAACTGACAAAAGTCCCCATCAGTCCCATGTGAGCTTAGGGACTTATTCGGGGCCCAAGGTCAAAATTTTAGGTTTTTTGGATTTTTCTCGAAAATGGTAAGTTTTATCGAAAAAGTACCTCAGAGCAAAGTTGTAGATCTTAAAATTCTCTATAAAAATGGTCCCTATGATTTTTTCTCTAAGACCCACTATTTCCCAGATATTGCGCTTGTAAGAATCATGTTCTATATAGTATGCACATAACAAATAAATATCTGAACTTTTACTTGGTTTATTTAATAAAAAGTTAATGGAATATCAGAAACGAGGACCAACTGCACAATTATGGGTACAGTAGTTTCGGATGGTGTCCATTGCAAAAGAATTTATAAGAGCTGAACGTATGGGAGATTGGCAAGCTCATTTGAACTGCGTTAAAGAAATGCTTCCTTATTTCCATGCATCGGGGCATTTACCTTACGCTAAGTCTGCGCACTTATACTTGCATGCTTGCTGCGCACTTATACTTACTAATTGAAGCATATCCTGCTTCAATTAGAGGAGGTAATTGATCCTAGTGTTTATCGAAGGTTTACTGAAGGATTTTTCACTGTTCGACGTTCTGATAAACTCAGTTGTGGAACTTCAACAGATATGATTATCGAACAATCAATGATGAAATCCATGAAAACAGATGGTGGTATTTCTCGAGGACGAAGTACAAAAGAAAGTGTAATAAGCAAATGGGTTTACGGAATGCATGCAATGAACACAGTGTGTGACGAGTTGGAAGTTCTTGCTAATGTTCGAATGGTCAGATCAACATGTAGATGCGAGTGATTCGAGAGTTAAGAAAGATGCTAAAGATATTAAAATACTTCTTGACTGGTTTTCATCACATGATCCTTTTCCCGAAATTAACAAAATCTTATCTATTGCTTCAGGAGTCGTTGGTGACGATAAGATTAATTGTCATAAAGCTCGTGAAGTTGGGATTGCCTCGATGTCTAAAATGACATGAATTTTAAGATCTACAACTTTGCTCTGAGGTACTTTTTCGATAAAACTTACCGTTTTCGAGAAAAATCCAAAAAACCTAAAATTTTGACCTTGGGCCCCGAATAAGTCCCTAAGCTCACATGGGACTGATGGGGACTTTTGACACTTTATTCCTTGTGGTAAACCTAAGGTCTCTACGAAGATTTGGCTCTGTCGGATTTTTTTTTATTTGATCACTATTTTTATGTCAAAAATGACCGGACTAATTTTTATTTTGAGTTCTAGAACGACGAACAGCAGATGCCATCTAATGTTATTAAAGACTTTTCTTAGGGACAACAATGTTCGTGTCAAAAAAATTATAATAATGCTAAGCTATCCATTGTAATATTTCTTGTTGTAGTCCCATCTAGTGGCGGATCGTTGAAAGCTCAAAGATATTATACTCATAAGTATCTTTCTTCCTTGGACTTAAAACCGTTAGATGTCGTTGACGTAAGTTTTGCATCATAATAAAAAAAAAACAAATTTTGAATTTTCACTTGTCAGTCATTCAGCGCCATCTATCGAATAGATAGGAAATCATTTCTCAAGGAGATTTTACCAATGTATAAATTGTTTTAATTAGAAACCAACTGAAAAATATGTAGGTAATAGCCGCTTTCATAGATGGCGTTGTAATTAAAATCGTGTCGAATCAATTTTACTCGATCGTCACAACTTCGTTCCTATCGGGTGTCCCACGACACCACACGGCTTTTTTTTTTAATTGAAAATATCCTAAAAGTCACAGGAGAAATATTCCTTATAATGTGTATCGTAATACAGGCAAAAAAGAATGTTTAAGTCTAAAATTGAGTGATTTTGACATTTTCTCATTTATGTTCAGCAGTTTAGCCAGTGAAAAGCAGCAAGTAAAAAGTTAACATATTATCATCCGCCAAGCCTTTTCCCAAACGACCACAACCTAAGAGTCAACTTTCAGTCTACTACGACACGGCTGCACCTTACCATAACGTAATTTTCCACTAAAGCTGACATCTTCAAATTTTGAATTCTAAACGCTAGTTAATAAAACCGTTGAAATCATTTGTAAAATGAACAGACTTACTGTCTTATTAAAAGTGTGGCACTTTATGCATGTTTTGATATAAAACTGTTCATGGTATAAAACTAAAAACTTTACTCATCAGTTTCACATGGAAAAGTTTTTTTTTCTCTCTTATTTCCTCTTAAAAGACAACTTTGGCATTAGGAATATACCCTGTATTGCGGGTTACTTTACACACATACAAGAAATGGACACAAAGAACACCCAGACTCAGAACAACAATTTGTGGGGATTTAAACCATAACACTCAGCGTAGCAGTAAGCGGCGTGGCGACCGCTTAAGCCACTACGCCATCCGTGCAGTAGATATTTGTTTTTTTTTTTAATCTGGTTCTTATAAATTGGCTCTAAACCACCTGCATACGGTGCAATGCCATAGGTAGTGACATGACACAATATCGTCATAGTCGTAGAATAATGTCGGTTCTGACATTTATTGAACTTTACAGGGCAATCATTCCAAATAATTTTTGATAGGATAGCAGTTATGTCACTAGACATAACTTTTTTTTAATTCTAAATCTGTAATTATGAAAAATGGCATCATCATCATCATCATCATCAGCCTATCGCAGTCCACTGCTGGACATAGGCCTCTCCCATTGCACGCCACTTAGATCGATTTTGGGCTTCTCGCATCCAGCTCCTGCCAGCCATCTTGCGCAAATCGTCACTCCACCTGGCCTGTGGGCGTCCTACACTACGTTTGCCGAGACGCGGTCTCCACTCAAGAACTCGTTTTCCCCAACGGTTATCGGTTCTGCGGCTAATATGGCCAGCCCACTGCCACTTCAACTTGCTGATCCGGTACGCTATGTCGGTGACCTTAGTTCTCTGCCGGATCACCTCATTTCTGATGCGATCCCTTAGAGAAACGCCGAGCATAGCCCTTTCCATAGCACGTTGAGCGACTTTGAACTTGTGGACCAGCCGTACCGTAAGTGTCCACGTTTCAGCTCCGTATGTCATGACGGGTAGGACGCACTCATTGAAGACTTTAGTCTTAAGGCACTGTGGGATCGACGATGAGAAGACTCGACGTAGCTTCCCAAACGCTGCCCAACCCAACCGAATTCTTCTGTTCACCTCGTCCTCGAAGTTGTTTCTACCTAACTGCAATGACTGCCCGAGGTACACATAATTTTGAACAACTTCGAGAACGGCACCGTGTACCGCAATCGGTTCCGGTAGTACATGTTCGTTGAACATGACCTTGGTTTTATCCAAGTTCCTCCGTAGGCCGATGCGTACAGAAGTGTCAGCTAAGTCATTCAGCATTTGCTGTAGGTCCTGCAACGTCTCTGCCATGATGACGATGTCATCTGCAAATCGCAAGTGAGAGATGTATTCGCCATTGATATTGATGCCACGCCCTTTCCAGTGCAGCGTCTTGAACATGTCCTCCATTGCATTTGTGAACAATTTCGGGGAAATAACGTCCCCTTGTCTCACTCCTCGATGCAATGGTACGGGCCTTGTTTGCTGATTCTGTACTTGGACGGACATGGTGGCGGCTTCGTAGAGACATCTCATCACTTTGATGTATCGCCAATCTACTTGGCAACGCTGCAGGGACTCCAGAACAGACCAGATCTCGATCGAGTCAAAGGCTTTCTCATAGTCCACGAATGCTAGACACAGGGGCTGATTATATTCTTCGGTCTTCTGTATAATCTGCCGCACTGTGTGGATGTGGTCTATGGTGCCATATCCGCTCCGAAACCCAGCTTGCTCCGGTGGTTGGAATTCGTCGAGTCTTCGCGCAAGACGGTTCGTGATGACTCTCGAAAACAGCTTGTAGACGTGGCTTAGAAGGGATATGGGTCGATAGTTCTTCAACCTGGTCTTGTCACCCTTTTTGAAGAACAAGACGACCACACTCCTACTCCACGCTTCTGGAGTTCTCCCTTCAAACAGGACAGCGTTGAAGAGCTTTTGGAGCTCCCTTAGTACGGGTTTACCCCCGGCCTTCAGCAGCTCTGTTGTAACGCCATCCTCTCCAGGGGCTTTTCCATTTTTCAGCTGTCCAAGAGCCATCTCGATTTCGTCAATGCTAACTTCTGGCAGGTCTTCGGTGTAGTGACGTGTTAAAAAATGAATGAATATGAAAAATGGCATACAAGTGAAAAATAGGGTTTGTTTAAAATGCAATAAAAATAACAACTAATAATTACACAATTTTCTAGAGAAATTACATGCTTCATTTTACTTTAAGCGACTTTCAAATAAACACTGAATAATTGATAATCTAAAACACATATAATTTTTTCTGTATGTAGTATTTTATAATATTTAGATATAGATTATAATATTTGAATGTAATATATTTAGACAATGCAGTATCCAAATATGCTAAAAACTGAATTTCATATTTTTTCAAAACCTTCATTATTTAGCGATCATGATGATATGGTAACATTGAAAACATTTCATATATCTAGTATAGATGGCTCTTTTAGCAAAATAAATTTATTCTTGAGTTGCCAGGGCACGTTCGAGAACGGACGACAGCAGCGAATCAGGGAAAAGTATGAATTTTCTTTGAATTATCTATCAAAATTCAGTGGCTTGCCAGAGATCACATTCGAATAGTGTCAAAGGTAACTATCGTTTAAGTAAATTTCACCGAATAGAACAGTAAACCTATTATGATAATACATTTTTTTCATTATTGAGCGTGTCTGCGTTTCATCGTTCAAATCGCAAATTAGTTTTCGTTCTTACTAGAAAGGAGTGCGTTATATAACCTTGAATCACGGGACTTCAGTATTGATCAGTGGTTTTTTGTTGTAAGTAATTTCTCGTGAATATCAGGTATGTACTGCGTATTGTTTTATTAATCATAAAGTATTGCCTTTTCATGATGCAATGATTAAAATGGAGGTTATAAAATGGGGAAACAGTAACTGTAATTTACGACTTCGTATTAAAAATAGGTACAGTTACATGATTTTTATAAGCATTTCGAGCGTGTCTATTATTATTGTTTTCAAAATTAGGCAATTAGAAAGTAACTATTAGGGGTCTGTTTTGGACCATATTGAATGAGACTTCTGTTTTTTTATTGAAATTATAAATAAGATTTTAGTTTTGTTTTCTTAACGAATAATAAAGAAACTACAAATCAACATTGAAAATAATATATGTAACAGTTACACAAATTAGCATCGCCATCCCTGAGAAAAATGTCTAAAATAAGTTTATTGTTACTCATATAATTTATTGTAAAAAGTATTCGTCCACACTTCATGTAAACAACTAATTTCACTTATAACCTTGAACTATTTAATTGGTACTATAAATAACATATATGATGACTGACTGCCAAACCTTTTTCCAAGTAGAAAGATGACAATGTATCAACATTGATTTAAATATCTATTCATAATATAAGTATTCATTCCTGTAGGTTTTAAAAGTTGTAGAATAAATTTTCTAATCTTTACTCTAAGAATGCAAAGTTGACATTGAAGAATTGTGCATTGCAGTTCTCAATGTACCAGATGCCAAATCCTCTTTGCTTGTTATTAGTTTTTATCTATATTACAAACCTATTTGTTTCTTATCTTTGGCACACCTACTTTTTATATGGAGCCTAATAAATAACTTAATTTTATATTACCCCAATATCTTTTAAAGTCTGAACTTTAGTTTTCTTTAAAAAATATTATAGATAACTAATGTTTTTTTTTAGACCTGACACTTATTAGGGATTCTACACAAAAAAAGTTATGATGCATCGTGCAAGGGCTGTTTTCGCAATAACACACAAGGCTGGCAACGGAGAACGATTTGCTTCATGGCTTCTTAACAAACCACAGGTATGTTTAAAAAAAAAGATTTGTCACAGCTAATATTGTGTGTGTAATAATTTATTTAAGAGTAAAAATGTGTAATATATGCCAATATTAACTAAAACATGTCAATGTCAAATATTCTTTATGAAAATCAATGGGAACAATGCAAGTACTACACTAATGTAATACAATGCAAATACAGGTGCAAATAAATGAATGTTAACAACCCATGATTTTCAAACACTTATTTTCAAAGATTAAAGACAAAGTGCATGACAATTAAAAGCAAATGTTTCTATGTTAAACTGACAGATATCAACTTTTTGGAAGTTGTAATTGTTTTTATTGTGTAAAAGTATTTTTAATATTTTTGGCATTAATCAAGTTTGTGTTGTTGTTTACATTAGGAGAATTCCATACATAATTTATGAGAAATTAATGATACACAATCTGAATTCTTTAAATTATGTAAAATTCTTATTAGAGTGTTGAATGGGTTGTAGTTTATATGAGACTAGCTGATCCGCGCAACTTCGTCTGCGTCTCTCAATAGTAATAAATTTTCTCCGTTTTTTGAAACATTCTTCATTGGTGCTCCGCTCCTATTGGTCTTAGCGTGATGATATATAGCCTATAGCCTTCCTCGATAAATGGGCTATCTAACATTGAAAGAATTTTTCAAATCGGACCAGTAGTTCCTGAGATTAGCGCGTTCAAACAAACAAACAAACAAACAAACTCTTCAGCTTTATAATATTAGTATAGATTGATTTGAACAAACATAGAAAGCCATAATATTAATATTGAAACATTATAGACATCTTACAGAAACCATCGTTGATCTTATTGTAAGATAGATGATTTATAATTATCTTTAAAAAATTGCACTAGCCTAAATTATTATAAATTGTAATTGTAATTGATCAAACACTTACTAAATTTAAATGTGACCTTGAATATGACCAATTTTTTTATTTTATTTAAATCGATTCGAAAATTGACGATACATCACTTGAAATACCCACAAAAAATATTGTCCAATTATAAGTTTCCTTTATGTAATTTCAAAATAAGCAGCACTTGCTATTGAAATTGCTTCCATAATCCTATTGTTTCTTAGCATTATAAATTAGCTTTAATTAAAACATTGATAAAGATTAACTGCAAAAAGTGAACATGATAAGTAATAATAAAAAAATAATTTAAACTGCTAAAAAGTTTTTCAACCTCAAGTCCAAGGTAGATAAATGACCATGACAGTCTGTTTTTTCAATGGTCTTTGTGTCAATGGATTGTTAAAAAGGTTAGACCACAGAAAAGGAAATATTTGTTCTGTGGGTTGAACCAATTCTGTCACTACATAGTAATTGAGATATAAAAATTGACAGAAAACATTGCACGCACGTCATCATGACGCGTCATCGTATGAGTCACATATGTCGCTTACGCGTTTAGTATTTACCCGTTTCCACTAGTAAAGTGTAGTTGGTATTTAAATTACAGCTTGATAATACGCTTATAACCGTTTTTTAATGTCTTTTAGAAACTAAGGCTATGTATGTGTATGCATGTAAGTATTCGGTTAAAGAAGGTCACAATAACTTGTAAAAAAAAGTTATTTATTTTTTGTAATAATTTTTTGTAAATTTTCTACTTTGCCTGTTATGAACCCAAAATTAATGTTCCTTTAACTAAACAATATTCTCATTATTTCTTAAGTTACGTAGGCATAAAAAGTGTAAATAAGGGTTAATATTTTACTTGTGTCTCTTAAACGTATTATACAGTTATCAGGTAGGTGAAGGACAAATTTATTTATTTAACGATAGCATATAGCCTTACCACATTCGTAAGATCCAATGATTAACAAGCATTAAAATATGTTTTACTACGAACTCGGTTGTATTGATCTTTTTTTTTAGTATTCCTGCTAATGGTAAACCAGTAGGGATTTCAAAAACTTTATTCTAGCCTTGACGGCTAATGCAAAAATGGGAAATGTTGATTTTGATATTTGGGGTTTGCTTATTATACTGCAGAAAGACGAGGATGGTATAGGTTTTGCAATCTAGTCTATTGGATACAATTGATGAGCAATGTAAATGCAATCTTTTCACTTGCTTTATGTACATATACCTGTAAGAAATTCTGTATAACTTATAATTACACATTAGAAGGTATAGAGTTATGCTAAAGTAAGACTTTACGGTACTTTTTATCTAGTATAAATTTTTTCAGTTATCAAGTAACTGAAAAAATTTCAACGCTTCCCATTTTTTTAAAAGTTACTTTTTTATTAACAACTTCGAGGACTAGGTGAACAAAAGAATTCAGTTGGGTTGGGCAGCATTTGGGAAGCTTCGTCGAGTCTTCTCATCGTCGATCCCACAGTGCTTTAAGACGAAAGTCTTCGATGAGTGCGTCCTACCCCTCATATCATACGGAGCCGAAACGTGGACACTTACGCTACGGCTGGTCCACAAGTTCAAAGTCGCTCAACGTGCTATGAACAGGGCTATGCTCGGCGTTTCTCTAAGTGATCGCATCAGGAATGAGGTGATCCGGTAGAGAACCAAGGTCACCGCCATAGCCTATCGGATTAGCAAGCTGAAGGGGCAGTGGGCTGGCCATATTAGCCGCAGAACCGACAACCGTTGGGGAAAACGAGTTCTTGACTGGAGACAGCATCTCGGTAAACGTAGTATAGGACGCCCACAGGCCAGATGGAGTGACGATTTGCGCTAGATGGCTTACAGAAGTTAGATGCGAGAAGCTCATATTCGATCTAAGGGGTGTGAGAGGCCTATGTCCAGCAGTGGACTGCGATAGGCTGATGATAATGATGAAGAACTTTAAGATAACATTGCGAATTGTTTAATTCGAGTGGATATGTTATCGTATCTTTTAATCCTCTATTACTTCTTTAATACGGTCGTAGAATCTATGATTCTAAAGTACCTTGACTTTTGTTTTGCTTCTTAAATAAGCTCCGCACCCTGACCTCGGTTCCAACTTGGAATCTTGGAACTTCCAAGCTTTTGTACGAGACGATAATTTCTTGGAACCTGATTGGTCAGGTTCTCTATTATGGTTACCAGCCCTCTGATCTACTTACATATAAATTTCTAAAACCATATGTATTATATTTAAATTACACCCAGACGGAAAAATGATCGTGCTCATCTAATTATATGTCCTAAGTGGGAATCAAACCCATAACGCGTAGCTCAGCAGTTAGAAAAAGTAACCCCTATGTAACTACTACACCAAAAGGCTAGTTGATGTGATCTTGACATCTTGAAATTTTCAGCCAATGCTTATAGAATGGGCGCCTTTGTTCATTGGATTTTTGCCAGACGAAATCAGTATGCCGGTCGCCAGGAAAGAGATTTATTTTCAATTTCAATGAAAATGTTTAAAAGCAGACTATGGTATTTCTAAACTCTGACTTGTAGTGATGTAACAATATCGTCATTGAATATGAATTCTGCAGTTCTATTACCTTTAATTTTTTTTGTATTTTGCACAGGCAGCCGCTGTGACAGTAAATGCCAATAGGCTGAAAAGTTCGACAGCGGCTGAACCCTTTCTCAATGGCTCCAGCTCAGCATACGTAGAGACCATGTACAATGCATGGTTAACAGACCCCAACTCAGTACACGCGGTAAGTTATATAAATTTTAAGTAGAACTAAAACTCTAAATTGCTTTTTGGCCTAGTGAATGAATAAGCGGTCACGAACACGATGTCGATTGTCGGTTCGGTAATTTCACATGTTTATGTTATATTAAACACAAGTTCAAAATAAAAAAAAATGTAGCACGATATATTTGAAAACAGGACAAAAAACCTTTTTTGTCATTTGTAAGATCTTCTCGATCTTAAAAATCTAGATCAGAAATGGATTTTGCTTACGGGAATTGGCTTTCAGGGCTTCGACTTGGATTACCCGAAAATAAAAAAAGACGCTGCAAGTTCGATAGTTTTAAGATTAATGGGATTTAAATATTTTGATTGGTCGATAGTATTATAAAAAATGATTTGTCATATCTACTAGACTGATAAGGGTCTGATAAATTACAATAACAAATCAAATGTTTATTTGCAGTGTAGACGCGGCCTAGACAGTTCCATACTAGACATATTTTATAGACCGGAGAGATATATCGTTACGTAACAACTGTTAACACAAGCGGTTATGTTAACATAACAGCTATTACTACAGAGATCCATATTACACTCACAATTTGATATTTTACATGAAACTAGCTTCACCCGGGCTTTAGTACACGTGTTTCTTTGACGTATGCACAAGGTTTTAGTATGTTTAGGTGCCTAGTTATGGTATAAAAGCGTTACAAAGAAACAAGCAAACTCACAGTCGTGTTTATAATATTAGTTAGGATTATCTTTTCGGGTGTGCATACCGGCTGCACTGTCTGTCACAGTAAACGGACCTGAGATAGTTTGTGTTTCACCTCGTTTCACCCGATCATATTTGCTAGTTTCGTTTTTCATTAAAATAGAAAAGTTAACCAAAATCTTGAGAATACATTGATTATAGGAATGTCTCACTATTCTTTCGTTACTTTTCGTTTAGTGAGTGGGAGGGAAGGACTCAAAGGGCGGCCCCAGTTACAACTGTCCATGGGCGGTGGTAGTTGCTAACTATCAGTTGACCCGTCTGCTCCTTTGCACCTTCATATAAAAAAAAAGGTTATTTACACACATGTTATGTGTACTTGTGATTATCTATGAGTTTAAGCAGACAAATCGTGCAAGGCTAATTTGCGAATGATTACTAGCTAGAACCAGTTGTAACTCATTTGAAGCTGCTCGGTAAAAAACGACACTCGAATGAATTGTTGACTGAGATCATTATACGCCTACAGCGCAATTACTGTCTCATAGCCCCATTGGTAAATTGCCTTTAAAAAATTGTAGGCTTTCAATGATCCTTTTTTGTTTGTTGACTGGGTGGAAGTGTTTGGAGAATTTAGCAACAGTTATTTTCAAATAGTATTTGTCCATAAATGAAACATTATGTCAGTTCCTAACATATCTGTTTTAAAACACGGTATGGGAATTGTATGTACCTAGTTATTAGGTACCTAACACTTCGCATCTTCGAAGATGAGCTGCACTCAAAATCTGAATCATGATCAATCTCGTAGCTATTATTTCAGCATTATTTAAATTCCATGCGCTGTGTCATAGTTGTTAATTTAACTTATATGAGTATCGAAAGGAAAAATTAGGTAATTACTAGACTGTACGGCCATATTGCAGCCTGAGATTTCACTAATAAAGGTGCCTTCATCCACGTGGTTAATTTGTCTAAGCGGAATAACTTTTCCAGATGGTCAAATTGTCTCTGATGACGGTAAATACAGTCAAGCATAAAATTAATCACATTATAAAACAGAACTTACTATTATAATTAAATTTGTTTAACAAAAAAATGACCAATACCTATTTCGTAATGGATTAATTGTAACTGGTAGTTCATTATAAATTGGTCTCTGCTCATAAACTCGTTTCTCGACAGCAGACGCGTTACTGTAATAGGACGCTGTGATCTTCAACGTTCATACCAGCTTTCGACCGCTTTATTGTCACGATGACTTTTGCCGTATACAGACCATGGACGATGTGCCCTTCAGACACGTATTTTCAAAATATTTAACTGTCTGATTCTATGACGTTCTCTGATTTAATGTTTCCCAGTTGTCGTCAATCTTATCTTCAGGTAATAAAGGGAGATGCGAACCAGCATTTTTCTTTTTTAAGCAGGAGCATGTCCAAAAAAGTTTTCCCCTTTTTTTTTTTATTTATAAAACTTCCGCCCATCGTGACATAGCCCTCCTTTTAGACATTTATGTGGTTTCCAATAAGGTAATTATGCGTTTTGTGCTAAAAGTGTTTTTTTTACAATTTTTAAGTGTAATTGGTGTGGTCGCGTTTATCTATTCTTTTGTGTCACGGCTAATTTTTGCTGTAATAAGTTCTTGACCCGGCCGCCACCTCGATTTGTTCTAAGAACAGCTACGATTACGTTTATTACATTTATCATCAGTGTGGTAACTTGGTTATACATCCCTCAAATATAATGAAGTATCTAGACAGATTTGAGATGATCCCTTAAGGCCTGTCCGCACAGTGAAATTTCACCGAAATTTGAATTTTGTAAATATAACTACCGTCGTACTGGTTATTATTTTATTAATTTTGTCCATAAAACTAATGTTATTTTTATGATTTTTCATTTAACTACCTTTTTAAATACATTTCACACGCAAATATTTGGATAAGATGTATTTTTTGTGGTTATCGATCTGTAAGCCATAAACGTACTGATATATCTTATAATGAGCTATGTGAGGATATGTTAGTTAAACTAAGTATAAATGTCTTTCACGATTCGTTCACATTTAATAAATTCTCTGTGACAAATTGGCGTAGAGTTTTGTATGGCTGTTAAATATGGAGTATTGTTTGTGTGTGGAATTCACGTTCAAACCGAATACCTACACTCGATGGCATTTCTGACTATAAATTTAAAATTATCAGTCCTGTTCATTATATTAGTTCTTAAAGATAATATTGCAGATCTCCGAAATGCGACACACGAGTAATCGCAACGTAGCATTTTCTCTTGTTTTTCTTATTCTAGTCAAAAACGCACCATCACCTACTATACACAAATCAATAAATAACAATTTGATAAACTAAGATAAGATAAGTAACTTATAAATATTGTAAATGTTTCTCTGTTGTGTATTTTGAGTAGCATGTCCAACTATGATAAGAACTTTAATAGAGACGCAAAGTAACTCAATTAAATAAAACCTTGTTAACCCAAATATCATCAGCGGTAGTGACTCAGACAATGAATTTGCGTAAAATTCTCGAAACAGAAAATGATTTTTAATGTTTGAAAAGACGCGACCATCGAATTCAATATTATTCTTTTTCACTTAAGGAAAAAACATCTGTTGTGATTTTATATTCTCAAATCGAGTCACGTTTTTTCCAGTTAGGTATTTTAAAGCACAGACTTTTCCCGTAGATTAGTAATAGTTAGATTAGATTAGAATAGAAATCAGCACGTTGCGGCACTGCCATTGATTTTTATGATTAGTACACGATATTAATTATATTGTCCGTGTCGTGACGGATTAAGAATACGGAATGTCACCACCCCCATTCATCCCGTGGGTGTCGTAAGAACCGACTAAGGGAGCAAAATATACAGGACAACAGCACTGCAAAGAGAAGGAAAACTTGAAATAAACCCTTTTTTTTTTTTAACGTGTGGAAATCCCCTCGGACCGTCACCCCTCCGGGGTTTGCGGCGGGGTAGTGTGTTGGACTCGGACCGACTAAAACCACACGGTGTGCCACTCTGCGCCTGTAACAGGAGGGATCCGGGAACAGCTGTTGTTAAGACATCCGGACCCCTCCTAGCGCCAGCCCGCTCCTGGTGCGGGCTCCGTCTCAATATATTTTCCTCTCTTTAGGCGACGTCCGGCACACGCGGACGCCGCCCCCTCGCGGCTGGCCAAACTAATGCTGGTGGAGGGGAAACCCCTTTTTTTTTTTTTTTTTTTTTTTTTACGTGTGAAAATCCCCTCGGACCGTCACCCCGCCGGGGCTCTCGTTCGGCGGGGCGGTGTGTCGGACTCGAGGAAGGGAAACCCTATACCAACCCGTCTGGCCAGCGTGGTATAGTAGGCCAAAACCTTCTTTCTAAGGAGAGGCATATGTCCAGCAGTGGACTGTTATAGGCTGTTGTTGATGATGATGATTAATTATATATTTTGATTTTTCTTTTTAATATCGTAAAGGCGACTTTGGTATAAGACGTTTGTTTGTAATACGTCCAAGGCGCTTGGCAGATATGGTTGAAAGTCACGTCAGTACTTATGTGTATAATATATAAAATGAGTATTAAATCTATTTGTAATATTTTTGATACTGATGTATTGTTGCAGTCGTGGGATGCGTTTTTCCGCAATGCGACAAACGGTGCTCAACCTGGCGCGGCATACACTCCTCCACCGAACCTCGCTCCTTACTCTAAAAATGAAGTTCCCCTCAATTCTCTAGTGCCTGCTGGCGGCGGAATGCCATCCATTTCTGCAGGTAAGTTAGATATAGCATCTTATCGTTATCTTTATTAAATAACCTTCCACTGTATCAATATTATAACTAATTTTTAAAAATATTATTATACTTCAAAGCAATACTTGTTATTATTTTGTTTTTTTTTCCCGACAAAGTAATTAATGATATTTTTTATAAGATAAGATAATTTCCACAGGTTCGCCGATTAACGAGAAGATCATTGATGACCATCTCGCTGTACAGGCAATCATAAGGAGTTATCAGGTGATGAATATTCCATTTATGTTATTTTAACCTTTTTTTGTATATTATTCTTGTTTTGCACTTTTTATCCCCTCAACGTCATTTTTGCCATGTGTATTGTATTCCTTTTTTGAATTCCTATCCGAGACACTTAATATTGTATTATTATTACGTTAGGTAGATAATATCCACATTCGCTTTAAGTATATTAAATTAAGTTTATAGTCTTCTAGCAATTGTAGGCCGCACTAAAACTAATATTGTATATAGGCACGATGGACTTACGACGTCGACTTTATATTTCGATCTTTTGTTAAGCCAACATAAGACGGATGATAACATATAAAATTGAGATTTTTTTTCTTGTTTACATACACTACACTTTTCAAATATTTTCATTTTGTGCAGGCTAGATATTTAGGGCTTACAAGAAACAATTGTCATTGTTACTGCATGTGAACAAATTGGCATAGCGGTTTCAATACCATATTGTAATGAATGTCCAAATTTATTAAGCACACGGTCTAGTGACGACACGAGAGTGAAGAAACAAAATTTTACAGTAACTAAGAGCAAATAGTCACTAGATCGTGGAAGTTTATAATTTGGGCTAAAATGTGACGTGGTGGCGGGTGCGTGACAGGCTCGCGGTCACCTGGCGGCCGATGTGGACCCGCTCGGCATCACGACAGCCAACCTGCCGGGTCTAGGCATGCGCGCGCCGCGCTCCGAGCTCATCATGAGGAAATATTTCAATTTCGGTACGCAGGAGACAAAATGACAAATGTCGTTGTCGTATTTGAAGGCAATCACAATCGTATCGTTTCGTTATTTATTTCAACATTGCATTGCGTGTCACTGATTGTTGTGTTTCGTAATCAGCGATTTTATAACACACATACATATTTACAAGTCATGCTTTTGTGAGAGATAATCCAAGTCTTACAGATATATCTTAAGTAGTTAAAGTTAATAAAAGTAGCTAAACACCATCCAAAACACTGAAGAATGCTCGTTCTAACAGTTCTAGTCTAGTACAGTTTACAAGTAAGTTATGTTTATGAAGTTGGGTATATGTATAACTTTTGTAGTTAACACATTATCTTTGACTTCACTGCTTGTGAAATAGTCACTTATAAAATTGTACCTTCATATGCATGTGTGTGATAAACTCCAGCTGTCGGTTGATATATCAGTTTTTGTTGCTGTAGTGTTTGATTTTAAGCAGATTTAGCAACCTAAATAATCACACATAACATCAAAGTTTACACTAACTATGTACATCGTCATATCCTTACCAATTACATTCATAAAATATAATTTCTGTATCAACAATAATATCACTCAATTATAAACGTTATGTTGGTGCTCACTAACCGGACCGACCTTAAACGCTAGTCTCAAAACGCGGCAAAATACTTGAAACACTGAATGAAAATAACGAATAGTATATTGGTGTAACAAAACATTACATTAATAATATGCACGTTCTGGGCGCTCAACGGTGTACTCTATAAATACTATTATAAATTCTTTTTCCTACTACTACGCTGTCTATGCTGCATAAAGTGTATAATAATCTGAACCGAATATAATTTACGACCAATACGCAATAATATTTTTATGTTACGCTATTTTAGTACTTCTTTTTATAATGGTGTATGAATATATATTCGCTTTTATATGAAAATGATGGGTGTGTGGGTCAGTTATTTGATGCCTTTATTACTATGATTATTTTTTACATTCGATGTAGTCTCGTGGTCACCTAGTGGCGCACTTAGATCCATTGGGGATCTCAACTGGAGACCCAGCGTCCAGTGGCGAATGGCATGGCGGTTTACGTGCCTTTGCTAGCGAAGCTGTCATTAGAGAACACGTCAGATTCGGTATGAGTTACCAAAACCTATCTCGTATTGCTATTGGATAACACTGATGTCAACTGGACAATACCCGCTTGGGAAGAGCTATATCCAATACCGTATGTCCAGTTGATATCAAACAAAAGATTGAGCAATACGATACTTACTATACAGATATTTACGGGGTTAGTTGCGGTCACACTCCTCGCACAGGCTATTTTGCAGTATTTCTTGCAACACGCGATTTACACTTTTTATAAATTGTATTGTATGTAGATAGATGCTTTTTGGTGCTTGGATAGTAGATAAGCCCGTAGACACTATGATATTTGAGGTTTCTTAACCTTCTGCGAGAGTTACATTTTCTTAAACGATGGGGTAATTTAAATAATTGAGACTAGCTTTTTGAAAATTGCGGTCATAAATGCTACATTTGAAATAATTTAAATATTACTAGTACCTACGAATCATAAGTGCGTATGAATAAGGTAGGAAACGCAAGAACTAATCGCTTGATAATCATATTCCTTTACTAGATGAAAAGCTTAAACGTCAGGTTGAAAGTTGTCACTACGACATGGGATTCCAAATAAATAGTGTAATAGAGTTTTTATGTGTTGTCTTTACTGTCCCAGGCAAATAAATGAAATGTCTCACTAAAATAACTAAAATTAAAAAAGCTCACTAAATAAAAAGTCATAAGCTACGTAGGGTACATACGTACTTACCGTATTAATAGTTAGATTGTGGACTTAGTTAATTTATATGTCTAGATCTATTGTCACTTAACAAAACAAACTTAGCAATTTTATTATAATGGTGTGCGACACACAGCGACATCGGTAAATTTCTTCCTGGCCAGTTTTTGACCGTTTCACAGCTCTGACAGTATAAATTATCTAAAGTTGTTAAGACAATATTTTAGAAAGCAAATCATCTGACAGAATAATATCAATATAACTGTTTCTTTAGTTGATTAATCGTATATTCATTTAAAGAAGTGACCTAGGAAAAATAATATTTATATTCATAGATATCATATAACTACATTAATACTGCACAAAATATGAGTAAAAAAGTATGAAAACAAATGTACTTACTTAACATTTTTACCTTTAGTTCAAAGGTAGCAATAACAATATCTTATAGTTTTAGTTGAATCTCTGTATATATGTTTTTGTAAGTGAATGCTCGATATTTAGCCCAGACATATTAGAATGTGTTCATACTGAGTCTTACGTAAAAACAAAAAAAAAATACAATTTTAGCTTGACAAAAAAAATGATGGTAATGATAGAAATTAGTTTTTCTTGCTCTTCTCATCTAAAATATTTCTGTAGGGATAGTTAGTTTAATAATAAGTAGGAATGATAGTGTGGCGACTCCCACATACAAAGAAACATAAACATACTACAGCGCCATCTAATGAAGACACACCGAACTACGGAGTAACTACCATATAAGAATTGCTTATCCTGTATCGCGATATGAAGAATTCCCTCGCCGATTAGCATATATATAACTTCCAGGCATGATCACCTCGCCTGGTCGGAGGATCCTCCCTGTTGGAGGGATATGACACCCGTTCCTCCACACTTGTATTCATGAAAATTGACACCTATCTACATAGTACCTTGACCCTAAGGATTGGGTCAGATTAAGGGCGGCTCGGAATGGCGAAGGAACGCACGGACGGAACGGAACGGCGAACACCGCTCTGATATCCCGTCCCATACGCTATGATTTTTGAAACCCCTCGGGCCGTCACATCACCAGGGTTTGAGGCGGGGTGGTGTGTCGGAATCGGACCGACTAATACCACGCGGTGTGCCAATCTGCTCCTGTAATAGGAGGGATCCGGGAACTGCTGTTATTAAGACATCGGGACCTTCTAGCGCCTGACCGCAACGGAGCGGGCACCACCTTCGAGTACATTCTCGAACGTCGCCTCCTCGCGGCTGGCCGTTATGGCGGGTGGAGAGAAAAACAAGTCCCGTTCGTCGGCGGCGAATTGGGTCCGAGTGGAGATCATCCCCTTAGGCCAACTTCGCCGCCTTCTTCCGCGAGATGACGTCTTTGCAGAAGGATGAGACCGCGGTGAAACAACTATCACTACCGGTCATGTAGCGAGAGATCTCCTCCGATGACTGCAGTAAGGACCCGACGCTGCGACGCAGACGAAGCCCTTAGAATTTGCCATTAAATGTGTGTGCTGAGCCGAGTCCTCACTGCAATTGCAGTGGTGACAGGCTCGACTTAATTCCCTCCTAGCGACCGCGTGCAGGTATTTCCCGAAGCAACCGTGCCCGGAAAGGACCTGAGTCAGTCGGAAGGAAGTTGCCACGGCGGCAAAGCCAGCACGTGGAGACTCCAGCCGGCCTCGACGAGCGGCTTCACGCCACTTGCGTACCTCTTCGGTCGCAGGCCAACTGCCACTATCCGCCCGGAACTCAGCCGTCCGCGGATAGACTTCGGCGAGGACTTCCGCCTCCAAATCTCACGGGGGAGTACAGGCCAATGCGCACGCCGCCTCCGTCGAAACGGTGCGATAACCGCGTATGGCTCTAGTCGCCAATATTCTCTGAGGACGCCAGAGGCGTGCCCTATTCTGGGCGGTCAGAGCCGCCGCCCACATCGGTGCACCGTACAGTGCCATTGATCCTACAACCCCTGTGTACACCCAACTCGTTGCGACGCTGGGTCCACCCAAAGTCCCACACGCTATATGACCCAACCTTAACCTTAACACATGACGTATCCAAGAAACTAGTTCTTAGTATGCATTGTTATTTGCTCTGAAGGTAAAGCCTCTTAGTATGATAGAAACTAATAAATTATGACTTATACACGACGTGAAAATTACTACATTGTTTGATTTGTGATCTATCACTATTACTAGAACTATCTATTATGTGAATTAGTGAGATGTTTCTTTAGCATTCTCTATAGACAATGTTAAAAACTAGTGAACGTAGAACTATGTGTAGACAGATGTATATTACTATTGTCTAGTATCCACATACTATTCATTTTATCCTTGATCTTGATACAATTTGATATAAAAGTTCTACATTATATCATGTTTTATAAAGTCAAATAAAATAGAAATATGGTAAGCGAATACTCAATAGAAGAATCACAAACCATCACGGTGTAGAGTGAACGAACCAGCCGGACCGTCACGATCCAAACAGAAATGTGCTGTACTATACCAGCACTAGTTGTCTTTCTATATGGATCAAATTACTGTAAATCGGTTGTTTGTAAGATATGATTAGGTCCTAGTTAGGTATCGATGCTTCCGTAACCATTCTGTTTCAGTTATAACTCACCTGTAATATAATATATTAACTATCACATCAACTATGTTGTAAAAATGCTAAAATATTCTAACTGGCTGTTATAGGTTCATGTTTTATTTAACCTTTCAAAACTTTTAAATCTCATTTTGTAATAAATATAAGAGGTTAGTATATAATACACATTTAGAAGAAACTGCAAATCCAGCTTCATATTATTTGACATGAAAATGTTTTTATTATTTGCTTATTTATTGATTTTAAATTACTAATCGAAGGAACGGCAATTGCATTATTACACGCTAAACCAGTATGTTGTGCACTAAAAAACAGATCCGAGGACACCACATAGCGAATCTCGACCCGTTGGAAATAGCAAACTACCCATTGTCCGGTAAAAACCCACGGGAGGTGATTCACAACAGCTACAGGTTTGGTAAGGAGACATGAGAACCTGAAATACAGAAAGCACCATCGCCGCTCGTTGTACTGTATACGTAGTTATGGCGGCAAAGCACTTTTCTTCTCTATCTCCTGTCTGCAACACGATTTATATATGAAAAAACCTATGGTTTTGTATTATACAATCAAAAAACGGTTTACTAGCTGTTGGTTATTAGTCTGCAATTTGATACGTAGATATGCACAAAACCACATTAGAATTAAATTGCGTTGTTGCAGTCGGATTGTCGGACTATTTATGAACAGAGTTACAAGAAAGAGTATTGAGATTTATTCACTGTTTTCTTTTATTATTTGCTTTTTGTTAATTTTTATTTAAATGTCTGTTCGTAAATCACCGTGGAGGCTGGTAGCCATAACTACAAGATCACATTACGAACTGTGATTGTAATGCACTAGGTCCTCGGCTCGGCACGATTTCAGTATTAGTGTATTTATGGATTGCACGTTTATTTACATGGTATAAGTAACATTAATGCATGCACCATATTTATGTCATCTATCATGTAGCATGGAAGCACGGTCGTATATAATTAACTAGTAATGTATTATCTCATGAGATACAATAGTCCTTAAAATAACTATGGTTATTATTGGAAGATACGAAGCATTTTTGTTGATATAAATTTGCGTAGAAGCTGCATACTTCATTTTGCGGGTTTTGGATTGTAGATAGTAAGTACCTCTGTCTATTGTAGAATAACTACGAATGTTTAAAATCTAGATCATTCATTCCCCAACAATAATATTACTTCTGTTTTTATTCACGACTACAATCTTCTTTACTGTAATTGTACATAAAAATGTCTGTACGTAATTGTGAAGTTTCATTTCCATTCTGGGACAAACTTAATATTTGGTTAAAATACATAATCTTGCAATGAACTAATAATACTAGTAAAGGGATATGATAAAACTTTAAACTTGCTTCGTTGTGTGCTTTTTTCTAAAGGGTCTATATTTATCTTGCTGTATTTGTAAATGTAATGTTGGACAATGATGCATTTATTGATTAAAGTTTTTTCGGCTTTTACGTTCGTACTCTGATTTCGAATTTATGTTTTTAGATGAGGCTGACATGGACAGGGTATTTAAATTGCCATCCACTACATTTATTGGCGAGAAAGAGAAAGCACTGCCTTTAAGGTAATAAATATGTACTCTTTTTCTTCTTCACAAATAAATACAATTTATTTATAACTGGTAATTTTTGATAAAGTTTGTCTTATCTATGTTGTGGTTGGGCCTTAACCTTGTTTGTTATACATGGTCATAGTCTAGTGTTTATTGCATTTTGATAAAACCAACACATAAACAACTAACATCTTGTTTATTTTTGTTTTATTCCTCAGTTAAGTATATTGATGTATATAAGTCTAAATTAATTACCACCTTTAGGTTTCAATAATTACTAATTTTCAGATGTTTGGCAAAGGCTAAGGTTTCCATATGAAATTTGTACTAATTTATTTATTGACATTGATGTCACTATTATGTTGCTAGTGTTTGGAAATTAATTATTTCAACTAACCTCATTATTTTTTAAAACGTGGATTTGCAGCCTCTGTCTTTAAAATTAATTTTCTACGAAACTGAAACTTATTGTTTTATCATTATTTTATCTGTTACTTATTTTTTTTGGTTAGATTCAAAGCATTATCGTTATTTGTCATAATCACTGCACATTATGTAAGAAACTTTCTAAGTGATTTTCAAAAAATAATATCCTTTTTAGAGAGATCCTGAACCGTTTAGAGCAGGCGTACTGTAACAATATTGGTATCGAGTTCATGTTTATCAACTCTTTGGAACAATGCAATTGGATCAGACAACGTATGGAGCCCCCCAATGTAACGAAAATGAGCAACGATCAGAAGAGATTAATCCTAGCTCGTCTCACCAGATCTGCCGGGTAAGAAATCTCTTTGTATTACAATATCTAACTTATGTACCTGTTTTAATTCTTTGTGCAGTAGGGTGCGTACGATGAGGCATGGGTGGAAATAAATCTCCAGAGAAATAGCATTTGACGATGGTAGTGCCAGACTGATCTAAGTCACAAAGTCTTTTTGAGAAAACTAGGGCAACGTGTTTGTGTTTGTACAACCACTTGTTGTGAAAAAATGAATGCCTCATTCCTATTAAATATTTATTAATATCATGCCTGACATGTTGAATTAAACTGATAACAATGTTTCCTTACATGTTTTTGATTAATAGTAACACAGATGAAAGTTTTACACAAAAACAATCACTTTGGATCACCAAAATGATCATCGCAATGGCGGTCAGAAAGCCATTCATTCTACAGTGAGAGATATACAGTTTCTCGCGAAAAAAAAATAGTACTATTAGCATTTAAATCGCTGTGGTATTAAAGAATTGCGTTTTTTTTTCATGCCGTTATGATAAAAACGCTTATTTGAGAAAAATGAAAAATGACACATTAGTCTGACTCTAGTGTCGTCAATTGGTCTTTCCCCACATGTATTAAGTTGGGCTTCTGATAACCTCCCTCACTTGGTAAAAAGCGGCGAAAGAATTGCTTAACTTCAGTTTTTTGTATGCCAGTCATAATCAGCCCGTCCATATGCGCCAAAGCATGACTCTCTCACGGTATCAAGTTTGTTTCGTACCTACTATTTATTCTCGCGTATATGTCGGTTATTTCCCCCCTTTACGCCCCGTTTAAAGGATGATTTTTGGGATAAAATGTCTTTTCTGGGACTCCAACTATCTCTATACCAAATTTTATCTAAATCGTTTCATAGGTTAAAGCGTTAAGATGTAACAGACAGACACACTTTCGCATTTATAATATTAGTATGGATACAAATAGATCTATTAGGCGAGATTATATTCCGAGAGAATACTGGTGTTACAACCAATATCAGTCGGGATTAATGTAATGAATTAAGCATAATAAATCGATACGTAATAATGTTGTCTCTTTATGTTTGCAAAATTAATATTTTTCCTTTTCTTCGTCACCGTTTATTTGCTTTGAAGAAGGTGATAAAATACTTAAACAATAACTTACGTTTTTCCGCTAACGCTTCCTTATTTGTTGTAACGTCTGTGGCATTGATTGAAGACAATTTCATACGTCATATCTTTTATCGTTATTTACTGTAGATTGATAGTGATTTGTTCGAATGATACAAAAATACAGATATCACTCTGAAATTTAATTAAATATTTCTAGAGTAATATAAACTATGTTGTACGAAATTCATACTCACTGCCTGTTTTAAAGAGGTATGCTATGCATCTGACACAATAACTCACATTCGTTCACGTTTTTTAAATACAATTTCAAAAGTGATAAGACGTAATGTTAAAACCTGCAAAGCAAATAAATAAATATAGGGTCTACCAATACTTACTACAATGGATCTTTGACGTCTCTTGACATTTGTGTTCAGTAAGGTTTGACATTTTATCATGTCACGATTCACTTTAAACCAACGTTTGGAAATTGACCAAAATTATTACGCAAATTCGCGTTCTCCTACCGCTACAGTAAAAGCGTTTCGCGCAAAAAACGGTCGTCATAGTGCTCCTTCTGTGCGCGCTACAAATCACATAATAACAAAATTTGCATGTGAGACAAAGAAATGCCCGTAGTGAAGAGAATATCGCAGCCGTTTAGGCCAGTGTTGATGCGAATTCAAATCGATCAGTTCAACGCCGTTCACAAGAGTTGGGGCTCTCTCCAATGATCACCTGGCGTATTTTGCGGTTGGATTTGGGCCTACACCCATACAAAATTGTTTTGCCACAAGAATTGAAGCCATCCGACCATTGTATCCGTCGTGAATTTGCCGATTATGCACTGGAAATGATGGAAGCCGATGACGATTTTCATCGTAAAATCATCTTCTCAGATGAGGCCCATTTCTGGCTCAATGGATTTGTTAATAAACAAGATTGTCGCTATTGGAGTGAGTCAAATCCACGTGTGGTTCATGAATCACCATTGCATCCGCAAAAAATAAAAGTTTGGTGCGGTTTATGGTACGGTGGAATCATTGGTCCGTACTTCTTTGAAAGTGACGAAGGAAACCCTGTTACTGTGAATGGCGAGCGCTATAACTCGATGTTAACCGAATATTTCTTTCCGGAGTTTGATGATATTGATGCAGACGACCTTTATTTTCATCAAGACGGTGCACTACCTCACATTACTCGAGTGAACATGGAATTATTGATTGGAAAGTTTGGTGAGTCGTTAATTTCGAGAAATGGACCGATCAGTTGGCCACCAAGATCGTGTGATTTAACACCTTTAGACTATTTTCTTTGGGGTTACGTTAAATCTAAAGTGTACAGCAATAATCTAGCTACAATTCGTGACCAAAAACCAACATTCGACGAGCCATAGCCGACATACCGGCCGAAATGGTGCACCGCGTCATCGAAAATTGGCGTGAGCGGGTGACCGTCTGCAAAAAGAGCCGCGGCGTACATTTAGCCGATATATTATTTAAAACATAAATTGCATAAAATTATCTATCAAATAAATCAATCGGATGCATTTTTCATAAAAAATGTAATTCATAAGTCTGCCAAATGATCAGGCAACGCCGTCATTATTAAAGAGAAAACATTATCGTAATCACAAATTCATCGAGGTTCTCTATCAATAATTTTCAGGGTTGTCGCGATTTTGTCAAACCAGCGATATATTCGTACAACCACGAATTATCCTTTCAGTGAAGATTGGCACACTGATACGTGATGGAAATTGCATAAAGAGTTTCCTGACAGAGTGTAATTCATCAATAATCGCTTAAAGTGATAGGTGTTTTTGAGGTAGAGACGAAATGGCAAAGATTGAAGTTAAGGTCTATGCACATATTCTTCTTTACTCCTAATTATACGGGACTAATAGCATAGTTCTACGCTTCCTTGGTTAATTTGAAGCAAGTTGTTGAAGAATAAAAAAATAAAGCAAAGTAAATAATAAATGACGAAAGAAAGAAGTTGGCATTCTACGTCAAAGCCAAACTAAATGCATTCATTTAGTTTGGCTTTGAAATAATAATAAATATTCTCTACATCACACTCCAATTCTTTGAATACATAAAATGTTTATTGAAATATATTACTTATATGTTATATTAAGGTAAATCTGAATTGTATTTTTTAAAAAGCATATGTAAGTACCATATTATAAGCTAGATAAATAAAGTTATTTGCTTCGTAATAGATGTGACGTAATTTTTGCTGTTAGAAAATTGTGCAATAATGCACCTGACAGCAATGTACACATCAGATAAAAGGGGCTCTACGTGAGGAGCACGGTGGATATGATACGCGATTACCTTTTATACCAACAATAGAGATAAGTGCAATCCATTACTTGTAATTGATAAAAATTGCATCATTTGTTGCTTTTTAATATTTATGAATTTGTGAACAAACAAATATTAGAAAAAATACAAATTAATGTCAGAGAGCACGGAATTAAAAATCACAGCCAAATACGATTTTACTAAACTAACTATACATACATAATATAAAACTATTTATAGAAAATTGGTTATGGATAGATATTATAAAACAAACTTATAGAAAAGTGGTTTATGTATATTATAAAACGGTAAATGGCCATATTAGGTTTAAACAAACCATTAACCTCCCATCTTCCCCCTTTCACAAGTTCGTCAGAAGATAACACGAATATTCTCATTTTAGAAAAACAAATTTACACTGGTAACCCAAGAAAATAGAATTAGTTCATAGTTATAAAATACTATTTTAATGAATCCATTTACCTCTAGATTGTAAAAAATACATTTAAATGAAACCGATATTCAGCAACTGTCTGACATTTGCTTACTATTCCTATCCGTCGAGATACCGGATGTTACTACAGCAGCTTATTACAGTTATTGACAACCATATCACCTGTGCCTACTTACTTTGCAGATTTGAGAATTTCCTGGCGAAGAAATGGTCTTCGGAGAAACGTTTCGGCTTGGAAGGTTGCGAGATTTTAATTCCTGCCATGAAACAAGTCATTGACGTCTCCACTAAACTTGGTGTTGAGTCAATCATCATGGGCATGCCACACAGGGGTAAGTACAAAAGTAATATCCTTAGCAAACTTAATAGATAGGATATTGTGATTGGTATACCTGTTAAGTATAAATAAATATAAGGCCAGAAATGACTGGTTCTCATTTACCCTCCCAATAAGAGATAAAAATACTTTATTCTGTTCCTAGGAAACTAGTATAGGATGATCTTATATTGGAGCGGTACAAAGTTTAGGTATATAGGTCATCTTGGCTGATCGTCATAGGCTAACAGTCAGCCTGTGTCCAGGGCCAGTGCAACTTGGTCGAAACGTAAGCGTGTTAATTACCGTAAACATAATTATTTATTATGGAATGCGATAGTTTAAAAGTTGATATAGTTAGTCATAAATATGGAAATACAAATTTTATATTGACTGTTGTATCTCTTGAAGCCCTGAAAAATAATTACGGTTAATAATGGTCTTTTTCCTCTAAAGGTCGTCTAAATGTCTTGGCTAATGTTTGCCGAAAGCCACTTCATCAACTATTTACCCAGTTTGCTGGCCTCGAAGCTGAAGATGACGTAAGTTTTCAAAACTATTTTTTACTCTTCGCTAAAAGTTAATATTATTATGTAAAGCGTGCGCATCTTATTACGTATCTTGCCACCGGTGTAAGCGTTCCTTTGCTATCCGATTACGCTATTACGATAATGTGTTGCTTAAAAAAAAACATGTACATTAGTTATAGCGATTATATTTTTTAGAAAGATTAATAACGTTATGAATCCTATTTATCAGTTATTTATTTTGTAATATAGCTTTTCAAGGATGTTAATGATTGATGTAATGTAACTCCAAATTTTAAACGAATTGATTTTAATATAATGTAATTAATAATTTTAATTAGTTTTACTTTAACAATTTTTCAATGAGTAGGTTTACTAAATAACAAAATATACAATATATGATTTAATGCCACGTCTTTCTTAATTGGTAGAAACTTTGTATGGTCTTATGATCGCTACAAAAGACGTAGATGTACTAGATGAATAGATTTAAAATAAATAAATAATTTTTGCCTTACAGGGTTCTGGTGATGTAAAATATCACTTGGGTACCTACATTGAGCGTTTGAACCGTGTGACGAACAAGAACATTCGCTTGGCTGTATGCGCCAACCCCTCGCACTTGGAGGCTGTTGATCCCGTCGTGCAGGGCAAAACGAGGGCTGAGCAATTTTACAGAGGCGACAATGAGGGAAAGAAGGTATTTTGTTAAATATCTCTGTTCTTTCGCTATAATGAATAAAAACACATGCACTAGGTTCTTGTCGTTGTATGTTATGACTGCCATCTCTGATCGAAAATATACTTGAGAGTTAATTACCATTCATTTTAAATTAATATTTTATGCTTTGATGTTTTGCTGGTGATCGTGAAGATCTATCTGAGTTAGATTATCGGTGTGAGTTTTTGTCACATCAACTATCTCGACTGCGACTGCGCATTTACCATAAAGATCGAGTAGATGTGAAATAAACTAACACTGGGCTCTATGGAGTAGCCAATTATTATAAGATTTTTCTGGTAAGAACAGTGTGTGATTCAAGATAACAATAGAACTATTAAAAAGTAAAGTGACTTTACCACCTTTTTGTACATTGTACGCTATCTTGCTCTTACAGGTCATGTCTATCCTGCTTCACGGTGACGCAGCGTTCGCTGGCCAAGGTGTAGTGTTCGAGACCATGCACTTGTCGGACTTGCCCGCTTATACCACACACGGAACTATCCATATCGTCGCTAACAACCAGATCGGATTCACTACTGACCCCAGGCACTCCCGATCTTCGGCTTACTGTACAGGTTTGTTTTAAATAATACTATGCCGTAGTTACTCTTGATGGTTGTATACATACATCCGTTTTAGAATATTCGTATTTGGTTTGAAATGAATAATGTAAAGCATAAGGAAAAATACTTTATTTTAGAAGATAGGCTGAAAGACAAAAAAAGATAAACGGATTCTTTTATTTAATAATGAAAAGTCATTTACTGAGAAGTTTACCTCAATGTTAAACATGAATGCATACCTCCAGACGTGGCCCGCGTGGTGAACGCGCCGATCTTCCACGTGAACGGCGACAACCCCGAGGCGGTGATGCACGTGTGCAACGTGGCGGCCGAGTGGCGCGCCACCTTCCACAAGGACGTCGTCATCGACATCGTCAGCTACCGCCGCAACGGACACAACGAGGTCGACGAGCCCATGTTTACTCAGCCTCTCATGTACCAGAAGATCCGCAATACCAAGCCCGGTCAGTACGCACTCTCGCTTTATTTCATTTCATTATTTTTTCTTAGGCTGCCACCGAGAAAACTCACTTTCTCGTGACGTTATAACACACTAAAAAACGAATTAACTATCCTATATTCGATCGATACTAAATCAGTAGAACATTAAAAGGCTTTCTTCTACAGTTATGGATGCGTCTTTTTTTGCAATAAATAACTTTTACATAATGACATTCAACCTTATAAGTATTTAAAGATGATTCTTGCTAGATTTGCCGCTCGATGATATCTTGATTGATGCAATACGAATATATAACACTTAACACACGAACCATTTGATTGGTGTAGACCTGTATCTCTATATAATTATTATATTATTATCCAAAAGCCGTTTTCGAATGATAATAAAAACTGTGCTGACTGAAATTATTTTTATATATGATTATTATTTATACAAGAATAATCGCGATATTGAATCCTGGTTGCTCTGGTTTAATAATAGTATGGATAATCGAGTGTAATCGATTTCTTACAGTGTTGGAGAAATATGCCGATCAACTTATCGCCGAGGGTGTAGTAACCGCTGAAGAAGTAAAGGATGTTAAAGACAAGTACGACAAAATTTGTGAAGATGCTTACAATCAGGCTAAACAGGAAACTCACATCAAGTACAAGGACTGGCTCGATTCGCCCTGGTCCGGCTTTTTCGAGGGCAAGGATCCACTTAAGGTAAAAAACATAACATTTCCGCGCGTGTTTTTAGGGGCAGGTTTATTTTGGGTTTGTCCCAAAAATGACCTATGTAATTTAAAGAAATTTCATTTTTGTGATTACCTATATTTTATTCCAACTGGCAGCTACATAATCGTTTCTGTAAATTGCTAATGGATAACCATTAGCAATTTACAGAAACCATTATGTAAATAATATAAATTTAATGTTATATTTTATATCATTGTAATATTTAACACGTAATATATTTTGTCTACCAGATGTCCACTACAGGCGTGGTTGAAGAGACTCTCGTCCACATCGGCAGAAGGTTCTCATCTCCTCCTCCTAACGCTGCCGAATTCGAAATCCACAAGGGTCTGCTGCGTATCCTCAAGGCTCGCATGGAGATGGTGGAGAACCGCACCGTGGACTGGGCGCTTGCCGAGGCGATGGCTTTCGGCTCCCTGCTCAAGGAGGGCATTCACGTGCGTCTGTCCGGTGAAGACGTCGAACGTGGTACTTTTTCTCATAGGTAACTTAACTATATACTGAATTATATTCAAATTAAAAAACTACCTATGTCTCTTTATTACAAAAATATAAAATGATTATTACAGACATCATGTGCTTCACCACCAGAAGGTAGACAAGGCCACTTACTGCCCGTTGGCTCACCTCTACCCTGACCAGGCCCCTTATACCGTGTGCAACAGCTCACTTTCTGAATATGGTGAGCAGATTTTAGTTATATAATAAACGTACAATAATTTAGTTGATTTGAAACACCTAGGACACCAGGGAAATGAGTAACACATTAAAATAACATGTCAACAATCATTTCTTTTGCACAAATAAAGAAATGTGAATGAATGTTTTTGGACTTTGTTTAGCTATCAGCAGATATTTTATTTCTTTAGAAAACAGTATCGCATTTTTTATTTGTACTCATAAATAGACAGTTTAGTGATTGATCTCATTCAAAATCGAACTAAAATATGCAGGTGTGCTGGGCTTCGAGGTGGGATATTCAGTGACCAACCCCAACGCTCTTGTGCTTTGGGAGGCGCAGTTCGGTGACTTTAACAACGTAGCGCAGTGCATCATCGACCAGTTCATCTCCAGCGGACAGTCCAAGTGGGTGCGCCAGTCCGGCATCGTGCTGCTGCAGCCGCACGGCATGGAGGGCATGGGGCCCGAGCACTCCTCCGCCAGGCTCGAGAGGTTCTTGCAGATGAGCGCTGATGACCCAGATTATATGCCACCAGAAAGCACTGATTATGAAGGTACTTTTTGTCCACTAACATTAGTAATTTTTGAATTCTGCTATAACAATCCATATAACATTAAACGAGCTATGCTTCCAAACGGCTCTTAATATTTGGATAAAATTTTGTATCTATAAAGTTTTACATAGAAAAGTTATCTGTGTATCATATCTTTTCTGAAAAATATATTGGAAACGAGCAGTGTAAAGTTTGTTTAATAATGATGTGATTATGAAGTATCTACTTAGCAACCTTTCACTTCACTTGTGATGCCAGCAGTAATAGTATCAATCATAGTATTCAACCTATAAATTTTACATATATATCATGTGAATAAAATTGTGAACGATACTTTCATTTCATCTATTAACGAAATTTTTAATTTTACTAAAATGTATGTATTTAAGTAGTCGCGTTCTTCAAGTCATTATTAGAAATAGTGCCTAATCGGTAGTTTTTGTTGTCAGTGCGGCAGCTGCACGACGCCAACTGGATCGTGGCGAACTGCTCGACGCCCGCGTCGCTGTTCCACATCCTGCGGCGGCAGATCGCGCTGCCCTTCCGCAAGCCGCTCATCCTCATGACGCCCAAGTCGCTGCTGCGCCACCCCGAGTGCCGCTCCTCCTTCGACGAAATGAAGGAGGGCACTACCTTCAAAAGGTTAGCGACCTGGGTTTCTTTCCGAGCACTGATAGACGTCAATAAAATTATTCACATGGAACGACATTTGTTGTATACGCATAACACTAAATGCAATGTTAGGACCTGTACCAGTAAAAATTTCGTGTATCGCCAGTTTCAACGTCCAAAATACGTATACATTCCACTTGCGATGACTCCCACCTTTATAGGATCATGAATAGATGATGTACCAAAAAGTCCAAGTCATAAAATATCCAAGACCGGGGATTTGTACGATAGGATTAGGTAATGACAGTACAGGAAACCTCGTTAAGGTGCGTAAGACCACAACAGGGAAAAGACGAGTGTTAATGTAATGCTCATAAAAGAGAACATGAAAATAAATGATTAGCACACCCAGAATTACGTTTTTTGCTTTACTTGACTCTTGGAATACATGAAACCTGTTTACAGTAAAGTACTTACTATATATTTTTTCCCTTTCTATGCTATAGTTTATTTTAGTATGGATCCTATTATCTGTCACAAACACGAGTTTACAGCCCTATAACTATCTCACACTACGGATATTTATTTAAGCATATTTAATATGATTTAATGTTTCCTCAGGGTAATACCAGATGATGGCCCAGCTTCACAATCCCCCCAGAACGTTCGCAAATTAGTGTTCTGCTCAGGCCGTGTGTACTACGATCTATTGAAGCACCGCCGCGACAAGGGACTCGAGAAGGACATTGCTATAGCACGGTAAGTTTGTTATATGTAGGTATAATGGTGAGCATACTAACATTTGGAAGTTTGTAAAATACTAGCGTTTTTAATTTAAATATCTTTGTACTTTCAATTAAGTTCTTAAGTACATATTGTTAACAGAGTCGAGCAAATCTCTCCATTCCCGTACGACTTGATCAAGTCTGAGATAGCGAAGTACCCTAACGCGCAGTTGGTGTGGAGCCAGGAGGAACACAAGAACAACGGCTCCTGGAGCTACATCGAGCCACGCTTCAGGACGTTACTGCAGAACCAGAAACAGATACAGTATGTAACTTGTTTTTTATTCATTACTACAATATTTATATAGTAGTGATTAATATACTCTTTCCCCTAGTTAGCCTTGACCGGAAGAAGAAATAATAATAGTAGTTGTATTAGATTAATTTCAAATATTTGTCATTAATATAACGAATATTAGGCCACTTCGACAAGGACAAGCGCGATCATTTCCAGATGTACTAAATTGAAGTAAAGTATGTACTTGAAAATATTAGACACTACTGTTAAGGTGTTGTGTTTGTCTGTTTTTAGTTTTGAATTTTTATCATTGATACCCTTGGATGTATCAAATCAACCACGTCGTAGATATTTTAATGGTAATAAATAACATGACATGATCAGGGTTCCACTTAAACGAGTACATTATGCTGCTTGAGTTTTAATTCGATGCCATTCACGTTTGCATGAATCTCACATCGCTTACCTCGCTTACTTCCCGTATGTATATCACCTATTTTGAGGTAACTAACAATGGTCTCGGCATAACATAATTGGCTATTGGTTCCAGGCCAAAGTCCCAATCTCAAGGGAGTAGTTGGTTTAGCCAACTTTTCGGCCGGGATGAGAAGCCCGCCTCGCAATCTGTTGATGACACAGAGACTGTGCCGCGCACCATTAGGTGAGATAACGGCAAATCCCAACCACCCAAAATTATTCCTGGTCCCAACTATTCCCTGCTATGCTTCATGTTATTTATAAATATTTATGTTCACGGCACAGATGTTTTAATAACATAGGTACATAACAATATAATATATAAACTGATAAAAAAAATAACAATCAATTATAGTAGTTCATTTTAATCTTTATCTTGGAATAAGGCTAAGAAACAATGTAAAACGAAGTCAAGTTTTAATAAAAGTTCGTTTTATCATATAATTATTCTTTAAAAGGCAACAATTACTTTGTCAGGTATGATGGAGCGACATGATCATAAGTGTGGCTAAATGAAGATAAAATAAAAGTGTAAATAATGATTTAAAAAAAAAACTCAAGTTTAAATTAAGTTTTAAAGTTGGCGTGTAATCATGGACTTCGTCATAAGTAAACCTTAATTGTATGACTTAACACTTATCACATTTTTTATATTCTGCCCATTTGTTTCCTTATTCAATTTCAATAAACATAAATTACTCATGCCTAATTATTGTTGCCGATCTGATTAAAAATAACAATCGATTTTATTTGAGACATAATTTGAAAAATTTATCGATTGTAGATTTAAAAAAGTTAATGAAATATTATAATAACGATGTTGTATATGTCATAAATAACAATTGATAATGACGAACTTAGTATGTATCAATTTCCTTTGTTCGTTGTTTTTTATATGTTTAAATATGAATTCCAATCATTTTGAAGTTATTTCTTGCAAAATTACGTGTATATGTATCTAATAAATTATTCTATTATCTAATAAATTATTTGAAACAAATACTACGTGTACATTATGTACAGTGTCGTACAAAGGCTGTCAACTGTTTATACTTCAACGCATTTTAAATTAACAAGTAAACAAATCAAGTATAATAGTTGCTTTTATCTTGTTTCATATCCTTCATCAATTCAGTCTTACTCATATTCATCATTGTATTAAATATATCAGTAAAACTCAAGCGGCATATTCTAGGATACTGTATCCTCCCAAATTTTACGATTCATATTGAGAAGAAACGAAGATGACATCGTAATACGGTGTATCGTTGTTGCAGCTACAACGGGCGTGCGACCGCCGCCTCTCCGGCCACGGGCTCCAAGGCCGCTCACAACAAGGAGTTGAGGAATCTCCTGGAAGAGTTCTGCGTATTATAAACAAATACAATGACGTACATAGCTTGAACGTGCTGTGAACCGCGAATGACACTTACTGCACACGAGTCCACTAAGCTAATGTCTAATTGATTCAATCTGTATGTTGCATCATACGTGCTATCTTCAATACCATTCGCGGTTACACACCCTCAGAGATAGATCATACCCATATAACGTGTACTGAAACAAAATTGTAAAGTATACAAGGTTATGCCATATTAAACACATGTAATAGAATTTTAAACAATTACGTATACTTTCGAAACGAAATTTATCTATATTAAAAAAGTCGAACGATAGTTTGTTCTTATAATTACTATTTGTTCAGATATGTTCTTACCCTCAGTATTTTTTGTAACTCTCTTCAATATTAGGTAGAGTAATTAGATAAATTCTTATTTATTTATTTAATGTAGAATACGTGTCCTGTAGTACCTACATTATTTATTGTTAAAGCAATATTTAATAGTCTCACGTAGTCTCCACTTATTGAAAGGTTGCGTATTAGGAGGTAATAATTATTCATTAAAATCTTACATTATTGCAAATTAACGGCAATATGCTGGTTGTATTATTTTGTGTACATAAAATGTTTTATTTTTTTATTATATATTAGGTTTGTCGTTAACGGAATCTTATTTTGATGCGATCCTTTAACTAGTCTGGGGATACTTATTTATAAAAGTGATCTTACAACCTAGGTCACTAATCGCACTTGGTGGAAACGTTACATTATAAATTTGTGAGTCAGGGTGTTCTTGTAGTATTGCATTAATATCAAAACTAAAAGGGATAAAATTATAATTTACTTTAGAAGATTCTCTATTACACTTGCTTATTTACGAATATAAGCAGCTACATACATCTTGAATGCACAGTGCATTCATGTTAAAAAATTATCTTACAAGTGTGATTGTTCTGTACCAGTAGCTTTTGAAGACTCGTTTAACGATATTGTACATGAGATATTATTAATTAGAGATATAACTTGTAACTGGGCACCAGTTCTAAAGTAATTGCACCTTAGTACATAAAATGTATGTAGTAAATAGTAAGCTTCACAGAGGTCGTTTTGCTTTGCAACCTTCTGGCCCCTGCGCATAGGTTTAGTTCGCTCATAGTTACCGTCGTTTTAAACGACAAAATGTAAGGATTAACACCAACATCCAATGCTTTGTATAAACCAACGCATACTTAATCTTGTCTCTTAAAATCTTAGATTGTATGTATTTACCTAATCTGTACGTAGCATTAAAATAAATAATATTCAGTAAATTATTATGACAGTAACTTATACATTTGAAGCAAGTTATTATTAAATTGAGGTGTTGTTGACACTGATCGTAATGTCTAGTATATCTGTACCTTTCTAACATTGTTTGCATATATAGATGCACTGTTTTATTGTTATTTTACCGATTTTGAAGTTTACGTATTTTCTATATCGGCTCAGTACGGCTGGGGAATGGCATGGCAAAGATTGTATGATTGATATCCGTTTGGCAGGAATTACTGAGCTCATTTATTGCTATGTGTTAGTTAGAATTAAATAGTTAATTTACAAATAAATACATCTAATTTAAAGATCATTGTTTTATTGCATGCCAATAATTATTTCTACGATATCATTATTTATTTATAAATAAACCAAGTAACTATGTGTCCAATCGATCCAGCTGTGTCAGTAACAAGTAAGACACCTATTACATGTTAAATTAACCCATACATATGCACACACCAAAATCGCATTTCTAATACCAAGGATATTAAAGCAATTTCTAAAATCAAAAATCATAACACTACGGTACAGTCGTCTTTCTTACTAAAGGCAGGTCATAAAATAATTTCATACGAAAGCTTGGAACTTGAATGATCAGGGTGCGGGGCTTGATCGTTGCGTCACTATTTGCTTAATGCGAATGGACTAAATGCATTTTTTTTTTGACATTTTGGAGGAGATAGCTAAACAAATTCGCCAGAATAAAATGCTATTTTGCCGTGGATGGACTTAATATAAATTAATTCAAATCAGAAAAAACTTTAATGCGTTTGAATCTTGCGTCGTAAATTATTTGCTGCAGCGGGATCTCTGCGAAGACTTTGTAACTTTCTTCCTACCGATACACAGATACCGAGCACAATCTCTTCTTTTTCCGATCCTGGACTATGGTGATGTTAGCTATCTAGATATCTCTATCGTCAGAAAATCTGAAGTTAAAAATGCCCAGGCACACCTCACAATTCACTGACAAGTCGTTCTCAGTGCAAGTAGTTCGACTGTGGAACCTACCTGAGGCACTTAGGCAAACTAAATCATTGCAAATACGTAGGTCACTACATAAATTTTGTCGTACTTTTTTATTTAATATTTTTCCAAATAATGCCCATTAAGCACTGATACATGCTCTCATACGGTCGAACCATGTACTAAATACGTCGCCCCAGAAACCATCTGGAACACTACCACATATCTCTTCAAATGCGCCTATAAGCTCTTCGTCATTAGAAAACTTGCGTCCTTTTAGTGCTTTTTTTGCATAAGGAAAAAAAGCACTAAAAGGACGTGCAAAAGTGCAAAGTCGCATGGCGCCAAGTCTGGACTATAAGGAGGATGTCCCAGTAATTTCAGCCAGCCCGATGTGCGGGAGCGTTGTCCTGATGCAGAAACCATGTGTCGAGTCTTGAGTTTGGTCGCTCATTTTTCAACGCTTCTAAAACTCGAGGCAAACATTTTTCCGTGTACCAACTTGCAGTAACAGTCTTCTGTTTATCAAGCACGATAGTCGACAGTATTCCGCGTTTTGAGAAAAATACAGCCACCATTCTTGTTTTAACAGTTTGAGACATTTTGACAGACGTTGGCGTATCTTCATCTTGAAACACACATACTTTGCTTTGGGATTTAGTTGGGACATCAAAATAGTAAAGCCAAGTTTCATCACATGTAATGATTGAATTGACGTACTTAAATTTGCCGCCGTCAAATTTTTCTAACATCTCATGACACCAATTCAAACGCTGTTCCCTTAACTCGTCAGTCATCGAACGTGGTACCCAAAGTGAACAAAGTTTCCTAACTTTTAGATGTTCGTGAATAATTCGATGAACAGTTGGTGCATTTAAATGCAGAGTTTCCTCGATCTGTCGATATGTCACATGCCGATATGTCTTCTTCCAGTAGTTTTCGCACTGCCTCAATGTTTCTATCGGTAGTCACCTCTATTGGCCTTCCCGGCCTCCAATCGTCCTCCAAGCTAAAATTGCCGCGATTAAACTGAATAAACCATCTTTCTATAGTCCTTAAGGAAGGACACGTTTGTCCTAATGCACCACTCATTTCTTCAAAACACTGTTGCTTAGTCAAGCCACGCTTGAAATTATATAACATTATTACACGAATATCGCGACGAGTAAATTCACTTACATTTATTTCGCATACGACAAAACTTATGTAGTGACCTACGTATTTAAAAAACTTGTCACAAATCACCATTTGGCTTTATAGAGGAATTTGTGTATTTATTTTATAGACCTCTGTATGTATGTATTTATATATTTTGTATGTATACTGTAAACGTATGTAGTAACCTTATATTTATTTAACTATTCGTTATTTTCAATATATTGTAATAGTACATCGCAGGCTACAATAATTTAATTTGACAATATCCGTATAAAGGTTGTCTGTAAGAGATCGCCGTGAGCGATAAGACCGCCTATTATTATACCAAAATTTATAAAATATCTGTACAAATAATACTGCAGTGGTGTACAATAAAGAGATAAATAAATAAATTTATGTAGGTAATAGTTTTAAAATTGCATCCTGGGGTCTTATTCTGGTAAGCATGTCAATCTATAGGATCAAATACTTGCATTTGAAAGATAAACATTAGATGTGGCATTCAGAATTCTACTATAAAAATAGTTTTAGATGGAACAGTAGTTAGAAAGTAAGCCAAGGTAACGATCCTACACGGATCGGCATGGACTTGAAACACGAAATTGAGTACCTAAGTACTGAACCAGCATTAACCATCGAAAACTTGCTTTACCTGCTAAAGACCTTACTATCTAAATATTTAATACTAGCTGGTACCCGTGACTTCGTTCGAAATTTGAAAACGCGCTGCCGAAAAACAAGCCAGCCGTTTAGAAGATTAACTGGAACAAACAGACAAAATATATAATCTTTTTTTTAGGCATAGGTATCGTGCAAATAACCGTGTGAGCGTGTAAAAAAAACCTATTTTTACATTACAAATAGACACTTTGTATAGATGTAAGAAAATATGTAAATGTACATAACGCGAACCGCAATTAATCGCAGTACCCTTGACGAGTACGCGACATATTTCACATAGGTAGATACGTCGCTCTCTTGGAGCAGTTTCAAGATTCTATCTTAAACTACTCTCATTTCAGCCCACAAAGCAGTCTGCTCACTATTTATAAATTGCTTGGCTAGCGTTCAACGCGCGGACCACACGAAAAGGTGCGAAGATTAAAGATGGTATCAGCAACAAGTGCGTTGTGCACGTCATGTCACATAACCAACACTTCAAAGACTTACGCGGGCTCGAGTGAATGTTGCGTATAAGTGTGACATTTGTATAAAGATACTCGTGGAAAGTGAGATTTCATTGAGTACTAAAATAAAAGTATATTTGATGTACTTTCAATTATAGCGTGGTGTGAACCAGAACTTTATGGAATCCCTATAAGTTTTTCGTTTAACTATAACTATAAAATAAGTATACATACTAAGTATATAACCGACATACACGCGGGAGGAGCCGCGGGCAAAAGCTACTTTTCTACATTGTGAAACGTTGAAATTTTTTTAAACTATAGAATTGTTTAGACAAAAATCAAGTATTTAAATACAGGAAGCTTGAGATAGGTAATGGAAGTTTGTGGCTACTAAACTTAAAAAAAAAACATTTCACCGTTATGGTCTTGTCACAACAACACACAAAACTAAAAAAAAAATATTATTTTTATTAATATAACGTTATTGTGCACCAACTTTTTTTTTCAAATACTAACTTTTTGAGCATTTTAGCGAAATCTGTAGCAGCTTTGGCTCACCACAATCTAACATCTCTGCCTTATTATTATATTAGTTATTCAAATCGTCGTAAAAAAATTGAAGACACGTCAATTTACATTTACAGGAAGTTGACCTAGACGTGATTTCGATGAATCTTTAGTTTTGAACTGTAAAGGGTATTTCCTTTTGCAAAGGATATATTAATGACTTTATGAGTTTGTCTGTTTTTCATAGTATGATTGACCACCGGCCGATGATAGGTCTAGGATCTTTACACAGTATAAAATGAAGTCGCTGTTTGTTCTTGTACGTTTAGATCTTTTAAACTACGCAACGGATTTTCATGCGGTTTTCACCAATAGAGCGAGTGACAAGAGGCGGGTTTATATGTATAATACACTAGCTTCCGCCCGAAGCATCGCTCGCGTGAATTTCGGTAACCGTGATCCTTTTTGTGTGGCAAAAAGCGATCAAGTAAAGCTGCCAGTAGGCAAGTGTTTTTGAGACCTCTTCAACAATAAGCATTATATTTCAGTCAATTTACATAAAGACGTCATGAAAAACCTAAACCTTCTTCAGGAATCATTATATTTATTGGTGAAAACCATACAAAATGGTTGTATGTCTGTTGCGGCGGCTGGGGTACTTAATTTTATAACATGTAAGGATGTATATAATAGTAGAGGAAATCCGAGAATTTCTAAGATTTGTAATGTGAAGTCGTAAAAAACATGTGTGTATGTTGTGCGCTTTGGATTGCAAACGCTGGCTAAACCTTACGAGAATGATCAAAATACTGTACTACGTAATTGTATATATTTAAAAAATCAACAAAATATCCACGACGGTATATGTCTATCTACTAAGGATAACTTACATTAACCATTTGTATCTTTTACATATTACAAAAAAATAATAGGTTCTTTACGAAGCTATTTTGAACAATATTGTATTATTCCTTATCCAATGAAATATTACGTCCGTCCCTGGTGGTAGCGGCTGCCAGGAGGAGCGGGCCTATAAATATTGTATATAAAGATGTCCTAGAGTATAACAGTATATCTTATCATAATAACAGTATTAGTAATTAATTAGGTAATTCACACTGACACCATCATAGTAGTATTAGTATCTACATTGCACCCGTGCGAAACGGGGCGGGTCACTGGTAATCAATAAGTAAATGATAATAAATATTTAATCATATAATTAACACTGTTGCTGTTGTGACTCTTATTAGTATTACCCGATTGTATCTCAAGTGTAAAAATGAAAATAAAATATATGTGTGGTGTTTTACCACAAATGTTTCTTAATCGATAATATTTAACCTCATAGGCACAAAACAAACTACTTAGACTTACTGAGGTACTTAGATTACAGATGCACTTACCACTTATTTCGTACACACGAAGAATTACATCTAATGAGTGCGAAAATGCGCGGCACCCCTAATGTGCAAAACAATGGACGCCTCAGATCATCCAAAACAGGCGGTCGAATGAGTTTGAGCTGTTAACTAACTAGTCTTTTAGGACAATACTTATTCGTTTATTTAGTAACTTTCATTTAGATGCCAACTACCATTGCCCACTCTCATTACCTCTTTTCTTTGCGGAAATCCCTACGGATTGGTATCCGGTGGCATGTCGGACTCGAACCGCCTAAAAGCGCACGCCGTCTCGGGTACTAATAGCCGGGGAACCAGGTATACCCTAGAAAGGAAATCCCTGGTGCCCCGACATACCTCGGGCCATTTACAACAAGTAGACGACCCCCCCCCCCGTGTGGGAACCCCATGTTCCCTCTGCTCCCTGGAAGCGAGCGCGCTTCGCAACGCGCTCGCCGCTGCCCCGGCCTGCTTCTGTTAGGGTGACAAATGGCCTCACCTGTCACCCCCAGACCTGCGCTTATGGAGGACGGAGGTCGTAGAACGACCTCCGGCGCCTGAGTCGCCTGCGGTACCTGGCCGGGCACTCTGCCAGCGTGTGGAGAGCCTTGTCCACGGTCTGGCCATCGCAGTGGTGCCACTCAGGCGTTGGCTCCTTGCGGATCAGACACAGGTGATCCCCGTAATATCCTTTCCCAGTGATCACCTGCGTCAGTCGGTATGAGAGGGTCCCGTGACGCCTCTCGGGCCAATCCTCCATAACGGGTCTTACCGCCGCGATGACGGCGTGCCCGGCGCTCGGTTGCCCGAGTCGTTCCCTCCGCTCCCCTATGATGACCTGGCGGTGTTGGGATTTCCGGTCATCGATTTCTCGAATCTCGGGACACCGACCTAACTCCCGCGCCTCCTTGCGCCACTGATACAGAGCCGCAAGGGCTCTCGCCTCCAGGTCCCACGGTGGAGTTCCGGCCAGGAGACTCGCCGCCTCAAAGGAGATCGTGCGGTACCCCCTTATGATTCTGATGGCCAGCACTCGCTGCCGTCGTCGCAGTATCGCGACATTGCTGGCCTTCAGGGCCCCCGCCCATACTGGGTACCCGTAAAGGGCCATGGACCGCACAACCCCCGAGTAGAGTCTCCTGCAGGAGTCTTCGGGTCCCTTCATGTTGGGCAGCAGCCGCGCCAACGCACGCGCTGCCCCAACCAACTTGGGGACCAGACCTCGGCAACGATATCCGAAGTCCCATCGGCCATCGAGTACGAGCCCCGGATACCTGATCGAGGGCTCCTGCCTCTTACCGTGAGGCTAGATCCCTCAGGCGGCTTCTTCCGAAGCCCGTGGAAAAACAGGGCCTTGGACTTGTCGGCCGTGCCCCTCAGGGTTGCCTCGTGGTGCGTCTTGCCGCGCGCCTTCACGAGCGAGTCCTCCGCGTAGCACACGAACGCGACACCATCCAAGAAGACACCACGAAGCACCCAGTCGTAGCCGATGTTTCACAAGATTGGCCCTAACACCGACCCCTGTGGAACACCGCACGACATTTCACGCCTACCGAGACCGGTCCTACTGGGGTAGACGACGGCTCTCTCCGACAAATATGCCCCGACTATGCGGCGGAGGTAGAGAGGCACTTCGTGATACACGAGCGCCTCCCTGATGCAGCTCCAGGGCAGAGTGTTGAACGCGTTGGCGATGTCCAAGGACACCGCCGACACCACTTCGCTCCGGGAAACTGCTTCCTCCGCCAGAGCCTTCACGCGCATGATCGCATCCACGGTGGAGCGCCCCTGACGGAAACCGTACTGGTTGTCCGCCAGATCCGGCCTCACCATCACGAGATGCTTGACGAGGCGCCTTGCAATTGGGCTATTATTTTATTTTGGGGCCCAGAATGAATAAATATGACAACAAAATATAATTTTAAGTATGTTATTTTTTGTTACTTTTTTATACTGATATAACATAATTATTGTTTTAAGTATATATTACAGCAATTTGCAGCGATGTTTATTTACTATTTCTTCATTAATTTTATTATTATACTAGGAGGGGTACAGAAAAACAACAACTGTGTTACTTTCATGAAAAATCAAGTTTTATTGTTAGGAACATTTACCTCAACTTGGAAACCTATCACATATGAACTTAAGATAGGATAATGATAATTTTATATATTAAATCACAAATTATCTCAGTCCGATATCTCTTTATATGGTTAAGTTTACCACTTTGTTACCTAATTTAGATTTAAGCAATTGTAATTTTAAAAAATATTAAAAAATAATAGCAATTTGAACTCACTATTTAAAGAGACAATTAAAATGTTTCAAATAAACAATAAACTCTTAAAATTAGGATATCTGAAACAGTAGTTTTAGTTTTATACCTTCAAACGTTTCCAGAAAAAGAGGGACAAAAAAGCAACGCAGTGGTTCGATACGTTACATAGTGGTAAACTTTTCACGTCCCAACATGTTTTCTTCACCTTAAACTAATAGAAACTTAATGCAAACAAAAATAAAGCATTTCAAAATTAACAAAACGTTTCTTTAAACAAAAAAAATGAAACTTCTCAAATTAACAATTTATAAACATAAAAAAAACCTTTGTCTTTTCAGTCACATTCGTAATATACACGTCTAACTTTCTTAATGTTTTTAGGATTGGGATTGGGTACTATTTCTGAAATATTTACGTATGATTCGTATGAAACATCTTTTTCTACTAGTTTTGAACCTCTTCCCCGAATCGTCAACTGATTTTAAAAACATAATCTTGATCTCTCCTTCGTCGTCAACGTCACTGTGGGCGACACCTAGATAAAAGTATGTTTTGTCCTTGTCAGTGGAAACTTTGACTGTAACGTAAACACCCATGGATACTTTTGATGGATGTAAATTTTCCTTTTCAATTAATTTTCGTTCATCTATATTAGAAACTGAAGCTTCTTGTTCCTTTTTAAGTTAAATCTTTGAAAGAGGCTTATCATCTGAGCTCCAAGTCGAAGAATAAACCATTTCGTAATAAGACCTCTTGGGATTGGTCACAAGATTAGTTATATCAGTTAATACTTCTTTAAAGACAGGTATTGGCTGATTGGTTTAAGGTGTTAAGCAGCCGCAAAAACCCCTTTCAAAAAAGCAACTAAGATCGCGGTACTGCAATTCTCCTGCATTTTCTGTGAAAACTTGATGTACCTGCATTGTAACCCGGAGAGGGATAATGTCCTTGGGAACAGTGCTCTACCTCTGCAATATCGGTATTAGTTATGAAATGTAGCTGAATTTTGCTGGCGTCCTTTAAAGCTTGAAAAAATGTCTCTGCGTCAGGAATATCTAAGCCAAAAGCAACTTTTTGGTCAGCTGTTTATTTAAGATAGCCACCAACACCATCAGCCGCACCCTTCCCGTGACCTGCTTCGAAAAAGTTCCAGGTAATGCGATCAAAGTTATACTCTTTGAATGTTCTTGAGCAGATGAAATGAAAGTTTATCTTCTGCCTATATTGTGTCGCAGGACCGTCGGAGAAGACATGGATTGTTTTTATGTGTGGATGATTAGCTTCTAATGTACTTAGAACTGGGTCTTTTTTTTAGCTTGCTAATACCGAGACATTCCTGCAACATATCGCCTTTCATTTTTGATTTTGTATGATACTCCCTTCAAAAATGCGACGTATTGTAAATCGATCTCTTAGAGTCTTTATTCTGGAGTAATGGTCTCTGATGGCATTAGATAAAGTGGCGTACTTTTTGTCTCCGTCTCCGCTCTCCGACTTTTTTGCTTTGTTCTTTTGTCTTTGACATCTTTTTTTGTACTTATTATATTTATTTTTCAGCTTATCATTTTCTGCCTTCAATTTTATATTTTGCCTATACAATGTCGATCTGTCTCTTCTTACTTGTCGTGTTCCTCTAGAGCGTGGAGAAAGGGGAGTTCCTGATCGTGGCGTCGAAGCTGGTGTATTATTCAAAATGACCTGTGCAATTTTTTGGCGCTCTTTACGTTTCTTGTTTGCATACTTCCATTTATGCTTTATAGATCTATGTTCTCTCTCTGTCATGTCTTTTACAAGTTTTTTATTAGCGTGATATCTTGCAAGATGTTTTTGTTTAGCTTCAGCATTTTTGACCGGGTCCTGTTTTAATTTTTCCCTATAACGTCGTTGTTTTTCAGCCAGTGTTGAAGCCATTATGTTGGGAATAGTATACTGTAACGAATCAATCTAAAATTAAATAGTTTTTAAATATAAAATTATTAAATAATGAGTAAAAACCTTAAGGTTTAACCACTGCGTTACTATAGCCACACCTGCGTTACTTCTCGTAGTAACGCAGTGTGTTGGTAACACAGTTGTAAAAATTATACATATTCTAACGTTTCAGCCATATAGTACTAAATTAAAAATATTTTTTAATGCCATTCAAAAATGTACACATTCTAATACAGATGAATTTAATAAAATTATCAAATATCTAAAAAACTCACCGTTTATCACCCGTAACTCAGCGGTTTCACAATAAACACACGCACCTCTCCTGCCGACACTAGCGCGACTGGCTCGACCAATTCTAAGGATACGCACTCCCCCTGCATCCCGCTAGCAATTGTTGACGAAACAAACGAATTTTGACGTTGAGGTATACAAAAAGCTAAGTTAAAGACTTATTTTCGTATGATAACACAGTGTTCGTGATTTTTCACTTAGCCACGGGGACAAGACAAGGAATGTTTCGTAAATTAGAAAATTCCAAAGGGAAATGATACTTATCAGTGTTGTAGTAAAGTTCAAACAACTGCTTATTACTATAGATATTCAAATTTAATAACTATTTAAATATTTAAATTTAATTTTAGTGTTTTTGAAGTGAGTTGCTTATAGGGACAGCGCAATTTTGTAGGGAATACACCTGCGTTTCTCAGAAATACAACTGAGTTACCGTGATTTAAGAAAAAATATAACTTGTTCTGTTCATTTATTGTAATTCTCTTAGACGGGTATATTATCGCTAACGTACTAAGAGTGTTTTTATTTTAGAAATCGTTGTTTGCTTTAATAATAATCATTTTTGTTTGAGAGAGACCTGTTATTGGAACCAAAATAAAATAATAGCCCAATTACTCTTTCAAAGAGCTTGCACACCTCGTCAAGCAAACCTCTTTCCCCCTACATACATTTACACGTGAAGAGAACATTTTACTCATAAAAATATGTTATGTTTATGTATTAAGAAGAATTATAACAGACGGCTACGATTTCAAACAAGTTAGAAATCAAAGAAATAAACCAAATTGTTAAATTTTAATAAATTATTGTCGAAATTCATCAGGCGATGTCTAACTAATACATGAAGTATGAATGAAATAAAGTAGGGAAACAAAACGTTTAATTCACAATTCTATTTTAAAACCTTACGAGTACAAAAACATAGTGCATTCTCTGAATCCTAAATCTAAACGAATACGCCTTGAGTAGGATTACGCTCGCATCATGTAGCAATACAGCATCACATTTATTTGATGCAGTGCAAATAGTTTCCCGTAGCGGATATACTTAAACGTTCCGCAAAGAGGTTTCCCTTTAAACTAAAATGTCATCTGTGAAGACTACAATCCGTACAAGTATCACACACAAGTACTTTGTTGTTACTCCCGAGGCTTAGTCCTTTGTTTTCTAAAATCTCCCCGAGCTCCTTTAATACTTTGCAATGGCGGGACAAATTCTGTGTGTCGCTGTCTGCTACGAGTGAGTTGAGATGAGTTCTTGCGTATGAGGACTTATTCGTCGGTCCGTTTTATGCACGCGTGTGACCGACCTCTGGCGTTTTTGTGGCAGTTCTTTAAACTATTGTTTTTTTTTGAACTAAATGTTTTTTTGTGTATAGATGAGTTTTTCGGATTTTATTGAGATACATACTGCATCAAAATATACATTTATTTTAAACAAATAGCGCACGGTGGTATTTAATATTTGGAATAACTGAATAACTAATGTTTATATGTAGAAGAGTAGAAAGCAAACAATTTTTGCAATATGTACTATAAACTTTAAAATTATTTAAAAACGGCTACTAGAATTATAGGTATCAAGTTTATATTTTGACTTCTCTTATACCTGTTATTATTTCGTTGTCTAATCATAACTTTACAAACCTTCGCACGGCAGTCTGATCCCAAACTAGGCAGCCTGTGCTATGGTAAACAGACTACTGATAAACATACATATATATCTAAATACACATACATATTATATATAAACCACACACAGAACAAATGATTTTGCTTATCACACAATTATTTGTTTTAGGTGGGAATCGAAATCAGGGTCATCATCCTCCTACCCCTATGATACAGAAACACAACCACAAACTCATCCACACAGACACATACCAAGCATAGATTCAAGATTCCTCAAACCACAACTTGGAAAGCATCCTTTGGTCAAAATTATTTCTTGGACGCTATATACATAACAAACTTGATAAATTATATATGCCATAAAAATGCCTTGATAAAATAATATGCCAGTGACACAATAAACTTGTGAACTTCACACACACACCTACACGTACTCCCACAAACCCACACATAAACACACTCACTGTATGTGGGTGTGTTTATGTATACATACCTACACTAGTACACGTACATATACACACTTATAAACTTTAAAAATTCTAGACTATTAAAGTATTTTCATGTATATATATAATCTTACTTTAAGAACATCAGGGCAAATTGTACATCAACTTGATTAAGTAAAAATAGCATATCTTGTGAAACTGGAAGGTAACTGGTGCTTATAACACAATTCCCTTTTTTAAGCACCAGTCGTTAAATTTGTAGAATATTACTAACTAAATGTAGCCCGACCAATATATTGTAGCTACTCACATTGATTTAAATAAACTTTATTATTATACTAACCACTACAGCAGGCCAGTCACACAGACAGGAAATAAAACAAATATAAAGGTAGTACAAGCTACATATCTGTCTTTTTTAAACTATTAACATTTACTAACTGTACTCACTCATTTTATTATGTAAAATTTATCTTTTATCCACAATAAAAACCGTATTTTGCCGCCCCGACCGAAAAAACCCAAGCATCTAAATGTGGACATGTCGAAATCAAACCGATTATAAAACTTTTTGTTATTGAATAAACCTTATATATTTGATTAAAAAGTATTTTTTATGATTAAGAACGAGACGTATGTATTCCACGAGCTACCGCATCACGAATAGATGATACTGTAACTGATGAATGATGATGATGAAAAATCAGCTGGACGGGAGGCAATAAACTCTTCAAAGGCATTTTGTACTGCCTCTCGGGTATTGAATTTTTTACCCACTAAAAAGTTGTATAAATTTTGGAAAAAGTAATAGTCGGTAGGTGCCAGGTCTGGTGGTCACATCTGCAACCAGCTTTGGTCAATCAGTCGTCCCCACTGCTCCTTCACGACAACGCGCGACCCCATACTGGGCAACAGACAGTCTCCAAGCTGCAAGAGCTGGGGTTGGAAGCTCTCCCTCATCCGCCATACTCACCAGACCTTGCAAATGCCTTTGAAGAGTTTGTTGCCTCCCGTCCAGCTGATTTTTACAAGAATTTTTACACCAATAAACTGCCAATGCGTTGGCAAAGATGCGTCGATTGCATGGGTGATTACTTCGAATAACAGAAATAAAAAAGTTTGAAAAAATAAGTACTTTCACTTATTGCATACAAAACGGCAATTTCATAGGTAAAGACCTATTATATCCAACCTACTTTACCTCTCGCGCAACACGCAACCTGTCCTAAAACCAATAAAGAACGATCGCTTAATTGTGATTAAACGATTGTGTGGAGGCGAGGCAGTGTCAGTGACGACAATGTTGATTTTCTTTAACGGGGAATATGTTTAAGCGTACTCGTAATAAGTAAGCAGTTTTTTTTTTGTGGAGTAATTTTGCACTGAGACAAATACTTTCACATGACTTATTATTATATAAATTGAAGGGTAAGGGATATAATGAAGTAATTGACCTATAAAATTCGTTAGTTACTAAGCTTGCCATGGAATGAGGCTACATCTCGCAGAGTGAACTTAGCTCTACAAGACAGACCTGAAAAGATTTATAGGCAAGCGCAGACACGTAGGCCGCTAAGCGGTTTTTCATCCTTTGTATCCATTAACACAAAAAGTGTAGCAGCTCGTGGGTTGCGTGCGTTACTAAGATACAATCTTTAATCATGCGCCTCTACGTTGTTTACTTTTCAGAAAAAGTTAAATTTCATACTAAAACACGGTGAATATTTCGATCTGAACAATACAAAAAGGCATTTTAGTTCATGTTTAAGGTGAAGATAACTATTGCCTACTATCATTTTTCACTATTTAGTTTATAGCTCGAGCCCTTGTATTACTTAAAATATAAAATGCGTTATAATACTAACAGTAGGTATCCCTAAGATAGTGACATAGTTTAACAAATTATTATTTTTAAATGAAATTACATAAATAATTTTACGCCTTTACATAATGTTGCGGTGAAAATGTATTTTTCAAGGAGATGGATTATTTTTCTATTGACTGTATTTAATTTATGTCGTTAGGTTATGTCGGCTATTCATAAAATATACAATGCAATTACGACAAATTTCTGTGTCAAGTAAGTGATATATTTCAAACGTTCATATTCTATGGTGACAGTTTTCTATCAGGTCAATCGTACGTTCGTTTGGCACCTTCGAAGTATAAAACAAATGAGTCGAGTAAACAATTACTACTAGATAAACGTGTATTAAACTTTTTTCTGTATAACAGTACGCAGTTACGGCTGAACTCACAACACAATAGGTACATAGAGGTTGTGGAGGCTTTGTGAAAGGACGACGTACGTAGGCGCCTTTGTGGACCCATTGGAGCATGCATATTAATCACTTTTATGTAGAAAAAATAATGCAGACACCTGCGCACAGCGTTGGTGTATACTCGGATGTAGCTGATTTTCACTCTATTGTTATCATAACAAAATACATGAAACTGTATAACACGGATTATGTACAACAATAATTAAATTACTACCTTGTCGTTTTTTTATTGTTTAGCTAATTTATAGTTTTGTTTGAAAAAATCAGAGAACCGAATGTCAACGATCGTGCAAGGTTTTATTCATATTAATTTATTAGATCTTGACCGCAGCTTCGCTAGAATAGAATAGAATAGAATATATTTTATTTGCATTGATTGTAGGTACATAAAATAGTGATGTTAACAAGTTTTCTAATCATTATACAATCTACCTGGACTAGGCATGCAAACTTTAAAAATGCATCAAAAATTAACAATAAATTCAAAACAACAAATAAATTTTTGAATGATTACAACTTATAATATTAATATAAATAAAGTGGTCAAAATAATTACGTCAGCAATATTGATTGAAAGAAGGAAAATAAAGTCAAATAAACATAGGTATTGTCAAAAAAACTAACATCTAAAGTTTATCATTCAAAAAATCATTAATTGAATAATAACACTTATTTAGCAGAAGTGTAGTCAGTTGGTTCTTGAATGTTTCTAATGTTTCATTTTTTATAACATTGGGTATTTTGTTATAAATAACAGGAGCCATGCCGAAAACATTCTTCTTCAGTAGGGGAGAAGTGGGTAATGGGAGTCACTTAAGCAATAATGTATCCAAAACACAAGTCTTTGTAGTAATACTTATTAATATAAGTTTTTAACATAGTTTACTTAATCAACTATCAGTCTGACGAGTTTCATTTACTTTGGTTATGAACTTTCGTAATTATAAGACTTAAAGAAAAAAATCACTTTGATCACTATTGCCCACACGTGCGGGTAATTGTGGTCACGCATTGGGTAATGGGAGTCAACAGATCCTAACAGTTGTCGCACATATATCCTTCTGCTGAATCCCATCCGGTGCAGTTTGCGTGTGCCCATAGCCCACACACCGTGCATCTGTACCAGATCTCGTTGTTGCGCCCTAACTCGGTACAAATAAGGCAGGTATTAGTACCAATCCCATCTATATTTTCCAGGTCATCATCTTCATCGTCGTCACAAATGTTATGGAAACTTGAATCTGACTCGGAGGTCGATTAGATGTCTTGTAAAACACGTCTTTTAGCCTTGTTTTTCATGATCTTGCATTGTGTTATGCGTTTCCTTGCTCGAAATCCAGACACTCCTTTGTTAATAGATGCCACAGCTTCATATGCTTTGCTTGATAGCGCTGCCACATCATAAGGTGTTATTTTTTCTGCAAGCCGAGATTTTAAAAATAAATCAAACTCTCTCTTGTTAGCAACTTTAAAAGGCCCTAAAAAATGTGACATCAAGCGGCTGCATGCGGTGTGATGTGTGCGGAGGTAGTGAAAGCATATGTATGTTATTTTGTTTGCAGTGCTCAAATATTTGTAGTGACATGTGGCTGGCATGATTATCCAGTATCAGTAGAATGGGTTGTTCAGGTGACGGCTTAGTATGCGCAGTGAAATGTTGTAACCATTCAAAAAACAAATTCTCGTTTATCCATCCATTGTCAGAACATTTGTAGATTGCACCGGCTGGACCATCTTTCTCCATCTGTGCAGACATTGTGCAATGAGTGCTGCCGGTGGAACGAATCCACCGGCAGCACTCATTGCACACAACATTGTTATGTTTTTGCCTCGTTCCCAACTAGTGATAGATCGGACTCTTTTCACACCTTTAGGGGCTAAGATTTTTCCAGGATCCTGGACTGTCTAGATACCAGTCTCGTCACAGTTGTATATGTTTTGTGGTTTAAACTTGTGTTTGTCCATCAATTCTTCCAGAAAGCCATAAAACAATTCAACTTCCCGCCTATTAAAAGCAGTGATTCGGTTGATTCTGTTAGGCTCAGGCTTGCGAATAGAGATATTGTTTCTTTTCAGAAATCCTTCAAACCAGTCACGACCTGTCATTTTTGCATTTTTGTCAAAATTGTTTTTAATTCCATGGTCTTCTGCGTATTGGAAGGCAATATTTCTGACTTGAGTAGCAGTGCATCCGTAAAAAGGTTTTGCCATTAATTTAACTCGGTTTGCCAGGTCCTCTTCCACTTGTTTGCTAAATACGGTTTGACGCCTAAGACGTGGTTCCGAGGAATCTTTTTTTTTAAGCGGTTTTGAAGGCTGGAAAATGGTAGGTATATCCCTACATTTGGCAGCTTGTCTTATAGATGAACTTCTATTTATGAGATCTTCCGCTTTGGATAGTGTGTCTGAAGACCATTGGGCTTTATTGGTACTTGATTGGGACGTGATTTTGGCATCTGCAAAACAGACAATATAATATAAATATACTATAAAAAATCGAATCATGTGAACGCCATAATTATTGCGGGCAATGAGAATCACTGCGGGAAATGGGAGTGACCGTGACTCTCATTACCCTAATCTGACAACTTGAAAAAAATTGGTTATAAAACAACAGTTTAAAAATTTGTCACTTCGTATGTATCACAAAACCAGTCTCAAATGACCTAACTACAGAATGAAATGAATAAATAGTTGAAATGTATAACAGAAATTGACTTACCGTTTATTTTGTGCACACGAAAAATTATAAGAAAATGGCACAAAACACTCACAGGGCCGTATATTCCGAGCGCTCGGCGCGAACTAAGCACGTGTTGGTGCAGGGCCTGCATGAGGTGAGATGACCTTGGATACGCGGCGTTTGCAACTGAGCGCATTTTATTTCTCGAATTATTGTAGTGACCACGACTGCCCACTGACTCCCATTACCCACTTCTCCCCTAACGCAGTATTATAACCACCAACTTGCAACATATTTTTATATTGACTTCTAATCGGTCCTTTCCTTGTTTCTGATATACATGTAAAATAATTTAAGTTCACCCTTACGAAGACTGCAACTTCAAAAATATACATACACGGAAATGTCAACAACTTTAGGGATTCAAACATTGGCACACAACTGTCTGTCATTTTTAGACCGCACATTGCCCGTATGCAGCTTTTCTGTGCTTTAAAAACCTGTTCTCTTAAGGTGCAATTTCCCCAAAATACCAAGCGAGCGGATTTCCCCAAAATCCGCTCGCGTGCAAAAGCAATGACAAGTATAGAAAGAAGAGTCTTTGTAATTTAGGCTCAATGTGCAATGAAACCCTTTTATTACCATGACTCACAAATATATTCTGTTGGTCTAGTGGCTATAGTCAAGTATCTATAGTCGATATCTTCAGATTTAGTTGTTTGAGATTTAATCTACACACGATGGAATAAAAATCGAATTTATTTCTATGCATTATAATTTCAGTATATATTGTAAGTTTTTATGATTAAATTTTAATACTTGTAAAAGACCTTACCCAGGACAAATAAATTTTGTTTTATTTAATTGAATTTCGTGCATAAATGTAGCAAAAGTGGACTTAATGCCGCAGGTATTTTCTACCAGTCGACCTTGGGGCGAATAATGTGGTGTGACGAGCACGATCATTTGTTCTGTGTCCGGGTATAATGCGTCATAACTATAATAAATATGAATTTAGAACTTTATAAACATATTTATCGGTAGTCTGGTTAACATAGTACAGGCTCTGCCAGTTTAGAATCAGATTGCCGTGTGTGATTGTGTAATTATGATTTTTATTTCATTTTTAGTTCACCAATGTTGTCCTTTAAACTAAATGAAACTATGTCCATATCTATGTATGTTATATATAGTTATTTTCATAGTGTTTCTGCTAACTGTTACTACTATTACAAAATATATTCAAGGGGTTTTGCGAAGATTGGGTATAAAAACATTATTATATACTAAAGCACATCAATTTATTATAAACATTCCGAGATTTACTTATGATGTATAGTTCAACAAAATTTTGTCCGTGACTACGCTTGCTTAACGTAATAAAAATTCTGTAAATCAATAGCTATAGGTATAACAGGACAGGTAAATTTTCCCGTATTCCTGACAGTGTATGAAGTCAAAATTTCAACCGTTACAAACTCATATTCGAATTTACAGTACGAGTATTATTTAGCTCAATTAGAACGATAAAATCCTGAGTTTTCATCGAACAACTACATAATATTCTACATTTGTACGTAGCGCCCTCATAAAAGAACAATATTGTAAATTTTGTGTTTCAAATGCGGCATAGAATCGAATGCCAAGCAGCTTGTTTTGTTGACTTGCGAAAACATCGCTCCGTGTGAATGTTCCAAACACGGAATAGATTTTAGTACTTTTGCATACGCATACGTTTATTTGCGTATTTTGTCTTACGTATCTACCTGGTTGTTCATCATATCATATGTAAACTTCAAAAACGTCAAGATTTTATGTAACACGAACCCAGAACATGTAGTGTAGTGTCTTAGTGCAATGTTATTGTAAAAAATCCATTCGAGAGTTCCGTACAAATTTGGTACATGTTATAAATAGTTCAGGAATCGAATTTCAGTTCCAAAATCTCTAATTACTGATATTACTATGTCTTATAAGTGAAATTATACCTCGATGATTGATTAAGTACTATAAATAAAGACCATGTTTTTTATGATTTCATTACAAATGTATATGTGTAAGTATTTTTAACGTTAACTTTAAAGTTTGATTTTTAACAGGTAATTTCAATTCGATACCCCCCACGCGTTCCCAAGATAAAGAGTTTAGAAAGGCAGACGGACAACAAAATTACCCTATAAGGGTCTGATTCTTTTCTTTCCAGAAACGGAACCCTAAAGGAGGAATATTTAGAGGAAGTAGTGCGCAGCAGACAGCTCTAATTAAAATGCTGAAGACTTCTTCAGTCCATTTTGATTCAACCATCAACGCGTGTAGTATTATTCTTGCTGCTCCTGAACGAGCTCTGACATTTAAAAAGTCTTTTCAGCAAAAGGTATGATGTCGGCTACTCTGCTGCGCTGTTTGGTTTTAGTAGTAGTTAACATTTAAATTTATTTTATTTATTATATATATTAACAAATATGGCTAAATAAAAAACAATGTAGACTCATATCACAATTGGTAGTCTTGCTAATTATTTCAAATTTATGTTATTCGTCCGATATATTATAGTCATCCGAACATATTGTGACATGATATAGTTCAATTTGCCGCAGGGGTGATGTATGCCAGTGACATTTATCCCTATAGTTTAACAACAAAGGAGTCAGATTTGTTACGTTATAATGTCGCAGCTCAAAGGGGCACCTTTGTTTCAAGCTCGTAACGGTGTGACACGTATGGGGGCGAAATTCTTTGATGCTTCTTTTTTATTTTGTTTGTTCAGCTAATACCATGTTAGCGTCACGGTGCGCAGCAAAATGTGTTCCGGAGGTACCGATAATTATCTTTATGTTGTATGTATGTAACTATATCAGTAATGGTTACATATTAACTTGGTATATTTAGCTCTATATGAATTAATTAAACTGTTTCATTTCATCATTTAGATGAACTACTACATTATTGATGGTAGTCAGTGATTAGTTTGGAATTGGTAACAGGTTGAATAAAACTTAGCCTATTTTAACAGTATAAGGCCCTCTATGAGAAGTCTTACCTTTTCTGGATCATCATCGTCATCAGCCTTTAATAGTCCACTGCTGGACATAGGCCTCTCCTTGGAAAGGAGGTTTTGGCCTACTATATAACGCTGGCCAGACGGGTTGGTATAGGGTTCGTGTCAAGTTTTCCTTCTCTTTGCAGTACTGTTGTCTCGCAGAGTTTGCTCCCTTAGTCGGCTCTTACGACACGCACGGGATGAATAGTGGTGGCGATAAACCGGAAATCGGTATAATTAACCTGCGTTCCCACGGTCAACCTCTACTCCAGGAACGACCCTGAGCAGGAGTCACCAGCCCATTTTACTACAGACTTATTAACGTGTTTCTGTACTCTTGTAGTTCTGTCAACGATATCTCGGGGCAGAACGAAAGGACGTGTAGGTACACACAACAATAACAAATAACATATATCTTACTAAATCACAATACATTTTATCATTTTCCTTTCGTTTTTGATTAATGGACAGAAATTTAGTCAACTCTTTAATTATGTTGGTTTATGATCTAGAAATGTTTTTCTTTAATACGAAGACTTTAAATTCTATTATGTGGATATCTTTACGGATTATGAGTTATTCAGTCAGTCGGTCAGTCGCATTACCATAAATAATTCTCTTCAAAATTCTGTATACAGAAGATCCTCGTCGATAATTCGAGATTTGAATAATTCAGCAGTCGTTTTCCCAAACTGAAGGTATCGCGGTTAGGGATTGTCTTTAATGAAGCAAAGTTTTAAGAACTTCGATTTTTTGCAGTGCTTCTGTGAACCCTAAAGTCTAAATTTTGCTTGGCTTTAGTCATGTCTTGTGCTTTTGCAGAATAAGCAATGCAGTCTACACAATTTATGATTTGGTTTCTCGAAAAATAAAGGAACAACAATCTTAGAACGTGTTTAAGTAAGTACTTCAGGATCAATTTTGCCATTAAGACTCATCAGTACTCAAAACAGCTTTGAATATTACACGAGTATAAAATTTCAGTGAGCCTTATTTGTTAGGGTAAATATAAATCAAAATAGATTTCAACTCTGTAGACGTTGATGAGATCAAAGTTTCGATTGAAAATACTTAAATCAAACGTTAAGGGAAAATTATGTCGTCGAGGAGAGATCTAATTAAAAGCGTAAAAGGTTTTGTGTTCCTCACAAAAAGACAAAAAGACTACAAAGGTTGACGTCAATAGCGATTTGATAAAAGTATTAAATTTCAGTTACTTTTTATCTTTCCCTTTCGATCTTGATTTAACGTCCTTTGAGGTCATTACTGAGGCTCACCGGAATGGCTTCGCCTAATGAAGTCGTGAAAGAAAATTGAGTTTAGTTAAAGGGGCGAATTTAATTCGATTTCAAACTTTTTGAATGAATGTCGCAGTTAAGAACGGCGGCATCATGAAACCCGCAAAATAAGATGGAAGCGAAAAATGGAAGTCCGACTTTCGTGGTTAATTAAAATAAATTATTCACTGCCCTCTTAAATAGATTGCTAGGCGGCACCATTACAAATCGTTTCAAGTTAAATTTGATTCCGGAAGAGATTTCTAATGGTGATGATTAAGTAATCATGATAACAATGCCATTTGTAAGCGCGTTAACATGAACTATGTCAACTAACATCACAAGGTTGCAAATGTTGCAAGGGTAATGTGACGTGACTCAGTAGCTTGTTAAACAACCATATTATGGGCATTAGCGTGTCTGAACCACAATACAATGCAGAGGCAATATCAGTTAATGATAAAATATGTATACAGAAAGAGAATAACGATGTGCATATGGTACGTTGTTCTCTCATCCTGTTCGTTAGTTCCGCTTCAGTTATTGATCCTTGTCATTTCCAATAACGTAGCGTGTTAGTTATACTAGCAGCTGTGTTAGCAAAATAAGCTTTATATTTAGCATCCAACCATTCTGTGGATCGATTCTTATAGAGTCGTGAATTTTTAGATTTCAGTAGCTGGTAGTAGTTTTGCTGTTTAATAGAAATATCTATTAAATAGCTAAACTGGCATCGAGTTTCCCACGAACAAGTCATTTACAAATGTGTCTAACGGGTAAGTAGCGCGTCTGAAGTTCGCAGTGGCACGCGAACTTCCGCCGTTTTAACTAGCACAAAGCCGTTAAGACGCATTGATTTTATAAACGGAAAGTCCGTGCCGTGGAGCTCACCTTTAAAGAATGCCGAGACTTCTCAAAACTTAGATAGGCTAACGAAAGTAGTTTGCAACAAGCACTTTCCCAGAGCGTTACTTTCTTTCGGTACATAACAAGTTTACTTACTACCGTACTGATTGTAAATACGGTTGCCTATACGTTTCTCGCTCTTCTTTAGTGCCACATTTGGATCAACAATGTGCGTCTATATTTAGATAATGTAAGTCAAGAGTCAACAAGCAAAATCCTTTAAAGTTCTTAACCGAATTCAAGCCGAAATGGGATTTTATTTGTGAAATCCGTTAAAAATACCTAAAACAAACTTTACTTTTATAATATTAAATTTGACATTCATTTTCACTTTCACGATTCATTGGTGAACATTTTCTGTAAAACTGGAATGTGCAAGGTGAATTTTGATTCATGTAAATAAGCTAGCTAAAAGAAATCAGGAATTTTAATATGATAGGTTTCCCTTTTAATGAAAGACACTTATTTTGTTTTATTTTATAGTCATAAGCGGTATTGTGATGGTGGGTATGTGGTTGCATGTGTTTGAATACTGATGTATGATGCATAACGCATGATAGATGGATGGATGAACGCATGGAAATGACATATCTGAGGCATAAAAGTAAAAAAAAAAACGACAATTTATAGACTATAATAAGGTTTTTTTATGGTATTGGGAGGGGGCAAACAAGCAAATCGGTTACCCGATGGTAAGTGACTACCATTCATTGCCGCCCTTTAAACCCATGGTTTGGGCTACTTTAACCGCACTAACTTGATAAATGGCAGCGAAGGAAATGCTCAACACCAGTTTTATGTGATGCCGTAGTACCACTCCGTTCATCCCGGCCCATTTATCGGCACTCCGACCACGAGTACCTAAGTATATTTATCACGGTTACATAGGCTAAACATAAGATTACTATTGTACTGATCACTTATTAGATAGATAGATAGATAGGTACTCTTTATTGCACACCATGGATAGAAAACATACAATGCAATATAAACATAAAATTAAAAAAACAGTGGTACAATGGGCGGCCTTATCGCAGTCTGCGATCTCTTACAGGCAACCTTTAGATGGACTATACTGTATAGTGATATGTAGTCTGTGGTGCGCATAATATGAATTTACATAAATACAAATTCATGCACATACGTACATTCATATAAATATACATATATATACATACATATACATACATACATATACATACATACATATACATACATACATATACATACATACATATACATACATTACATACCTACATATATAACACATAGTTCTTACAGAGATAAATAGTGATCCTTGACGAGTCTCTTAAAAGTACTCACTGACCGTGCCCGCCTTATAGCTTCCGGTAAGGAATTCCATAGGCGTGCTGCTTGTACTGTAAAAGATGTATCAGTAAAAGTTGTGGAGTGTGTTGGAATTTCTAGTGTAAGATTTTCTGTTGATCTCAAGTTTCGTGTATGTGTGTCATGGATAAATGCAAATCGTCTCTTTAAGTAGATAGGAGTTGCAGGATTAAATAAAATATTATACAGTAAAGAGAGGATGTGAGTATTCCGGCGAAGCCGAATTGGGAGCCACTTGAGTTTTTTACGAAATTCGGAAATATGATCATATTTGCGCAAGCCAAAAATGAATCTTATACTGAAGTTCTGAAGTCTCTCAAGCTTATCGAATTGGTCCTCGTTTAGATCAAGATAGCTGACATCGGTATAGTCAAGGATGGGAAGAAGAATTGATTGTGCGAGCTCAACCCTAGTGGCAGTTGGAAGGAAATTACGTAATCTTCTTAAACAGGCGGCAGAGGCAAACATTTTACGGCTGACATTTTGTATTTGAGCATTCCATGAAAGGGTTTTGTCAACGTAGACCCCTAAATTTTTGACATAGTTGCTAATTGGAATTGTTACGCCTTCAAAAGATATTTGTGGTAGTGCAGTCCAGTCAACTTTTGCGATAAGTCTGGAGCTGCCGATTACTGTCACTTGCGTTTTCCTAGGGTTAACTTTTAGGCCATACATTGTTGTCCACTGATATATGTGGCTCAGATCTCTATTTATGGCGTCAATACCTAGTGGCAGCTCATTAAGATTTGTTTGGTAATAAATTTTCAAATCGTCTGCGTACAGGTGGTAGGAAGAGAGAAGTTGATTAGT